CAAGCAAATGCCATAACATTTGAAGTTTATAATCTGCAAGCTCCAGTTAACACCTTGTCAGCTTCATTTCTCATTTATTGACGTTTCCAAATAAACTTCACCTTAATATACACATTATAATAATCTAATCTGAATATAATGAGCCAAGAATGAACAAAACAAGAAAAGATCCAGCTACAATCAATGAGACAGAAAGGTATTCCTAACTAATCTAAATTTCCAGAAATACAGGGAGGTCTTGATTGGCGCTGTTAATGAATCCCATGAAACAATCTAATTATTCAGATTCACACTTTTCAAAGTCAGGGGTGAAATCTACTTACCTTCTCTACCGGTTTGGAAGTGCACGCATCACGTGCTGACACTCACTCCACTTACGCATGTGCGTCATGTGTGCCCATGGACTCTCTGCACATGTGCAAACCCTTCTGTGCATGCGCAGAGGGTAAAAAACAGGTTACTTCCTGGTTAAAACCAGGAAGTAATGATGACTGGGCGAGTGGGCGGAGCTTTGTGCTGTCGTTGCTACCAGTTCTCCGAACCACCCGCCGCCATCGCTACCAGTTTGGCAGAACCAGTCCGAACCAGTAGCATTTCACCCCTGTTCAAAGTGAAATTTCTATGGAAAATATGGTAATTGGTTCTGGCTCGAAATATAGTTCTGGAAATAGGCAAGAAACTTTTTAAACCTACATTTGTATATTAATGAAATATTACAGTAAATTATAAAAATATAATTTAAATTTATGATTAACAAAGTCACAGAGTACTTATAGCAAGCAAACAAAAACAAAAATGCTACCAGATTCAAATATTCCAACATCTTGTCCTATTTTAGCATTACTATGACCATGTTCGTTGCATTCAATTACATCAGGTTTCTATCCATTTGTAATAATGAGCCTGTTCTTTTAAAAACATCTATTGTTTTTCTCTGATGGAATCTTCCTATCTCCATTTTGCCCATACAAAGATTAGCAGGCAGGGGTGGGTGGATATGTACCTGCAATGGGGTGCTCAGCCATTTTTCAAGTTGTGTAAGTGTCAGGCATGGAGGGGTTCTGCAGGGCTAGTTCTAAAAATACTGCATTTTTCGGAGTATAAGACTCCCCCCCAAAAAGAGGGTGAAAATTTGGGTGTGTCTTATACACTGAATGTAGCCCTGCCCACCCACCGGCCCCCAGAAAATGGGGCACGCATCAGGGGTGGGTTCCACTTACCTTTACTACCGGTTCGCAACGGAAGCAAGAGCGCATGCGCAGATCCTTCATGATGATGTCCGGGCAGGTGGGCGGAGCCTCCCGCTGCTTTTACTACCAGTTTGCAAGAACCGTACCGAACCGGGAGCAACCCACCACTGGCGTGCGTGGAGGCGGCAATAGGCTATGGCAATCCCTGCAACCTGAAACAGCTGATCTTAGGGAGGCCGATCCTGATTCAGCTGAAGCTGAAGCTGAAATGGGCTGTTTGCTGCAAGGAGGCAAATTCCTAGGAGGCAGAGGCAGAGGCAAATTTTTTTCCTCTTGTTTTTCTCCCCAAAAAAGTTAGGTGTGTCTTATAGTCCGGAGCGTCTTATACTCCAAAAAATATGGTAGGTGCAGTGCTCTTTAAGAAGACTTCTAGAATCTTGTTCAAAATACCATTGTTTGCAGGTCAGAGGCTCATAGAAGGTGACTGTTCTGTCCTACTTCCTTTAATGTTTTTTATTGTCCCAGTAATATGTCTTACAAAAAGTTAGCAGGATCAGGGCCGATATGATCTCCATGGGAGGAAAGGGCAGGGAATGGAGTTCTACAGTCTGAAAGCCATGACAGAAAAGACTGTCTTCCAAATGATACTGACTAGCGAGTCAGTAGATCCCTTACATGCCTCTCCTGTCGGTCCTGATGGGATGGGTAGGTGAACTGGGGATAGATAGTCTCTCATATAACCCTGTCCTATGCCATGCAGGGGTTTATAGGTCATTAGCAGCACCATGAATTTAATCTGGAAACAAACTGGCAACTAAACTGGAGTAGAGCAGAAGTATAATGTACGCCAATCGAGCGGTACTCAGAACTGATCTATATTTTGTACCAGCTGAAATGTCCAACTACTCTCCAAGGGCAGTCCCAGGTGGATCACATTGAAGTAAAGTATATTCCTATTTTTGATTTTTAAATATATGCAGGTATATGAAATGACAAATGTGTTAAAACAGCAAGGCACCACTTTCCAAGTACTGCCTCTTAATCATGATGTTATCCATTGAGTCATGTCCGACATTTGGTAATTCTATGTGCCAAGTCTTTCCACATTTTCCGATCTTGGCCTACTTCTTTGAGTTTTTGTATGTTCTGGGTAGTGTCATCTTTGATCATGTCCCGCCACCCTGTTCTTTGGTGGCCTGGTTTTCTTTTGCCTCCAGCTCTTCCAAATATAATAGATTTCTCTAGTGAATTCCCCCATTATGATATGGCCAAAGTAAAGGAGATGCAGTTTCATGGTTTTGCCTTTTAGTGACGTGTCTGGTGTTATGCACTCCAGTACTTGCTTGTTGGTCACCTTTGCTGTCCAAGGAATATGCAGGAGGCTTCTCCAGTCCCACAGCTCAAATGAGTTGATTTTCTTCCTATCTTGGTTAATCCACCCAATATATGGAATTTACTGATAGATTATAAACCTGTTGAAAACATTAAAAGGGAAAGTCCCTCTCCCAATTATTAGTAAATAGATCAGAATAGATAGAAGAACAAATCCATGGAAAAGCTACGATCAAAATTAATGTAAACAATTTAAAATAAAAGATTAACTATGTAAATGTCTGGGAGAAGATGAATGATGAATGATGTTGTGGGTACTCTAGGGTTAGCATTTCACAAAGGCAGCCCCACAGCAAAGAAACTGTGTGGCAGGCCTGAAGATCCAATGAAAAAGATGGCTTAGCCACCAAGATAATTTTACTTGATGGGTCACATGGAATAAAGCCACCAGGAATGATGAACAATTATTGAGTTGGTATGTATATGGGAGAAGATGTCCCTTAAGAATTTTTTTCTCTAGATTATTCAAGACTTTAAAAAGCAATATCAGAACATAAGGAGGAGGTTTTGAAGTATTTTAGTAGGACTACCAGATTCTGTAACAGCTTTGTTCCCTATGCCATCCGTCTGGTAAACTCACAAGATTCACAAGTTTTTCTCGGATGTACATGTATACATCCGAACTAGATGTTTCTTTGTGTCATATAATAATATATGTGGGTATATGAATATTTATTTATTTGTCATGTTTATGTAGTGTATATTGAAGGTGGTGACCCTTTGAGAGCTGTATGCAATGAAATTTCATTTTAATGTATGCTGATTAGTGTGCATTCAAAGTGACAATAAAGTTATTCAAAGTCTAAGTCTTTGAAATTCAATGAACCTACATTAAATATGCATAAGACTGCACGTTAAATATCCATAATAGTAAATATTCGTAAATATTTTATTACATAAAAAGATCCTGTCAAAATTAAAACATATTTGTTTAGATGGCTTTTCCTCATCCTCTCATGGCTTGTCTTTTTCTTATAAAGTCAGAACTGTGAGACCTACTCACTGATGTGGATCACATATCATTTGCCTGTCTATTGAGAAGTAAATACTATTGTCCTAATACTAATATACTAACACTAATAATGTTTTGGACTATTACCTCTACTATCTCTGATGATTGGCCCCAGTGGGTATCAAGTAATCCAAAACTTCAGTGGTATCAGGCTTTCCATCCAATTAAAATGAAGCTTAAACAGTGTGATCAGGCTGTACTCTTATCAACACTGTCCTGTGATTGACTCACACTTTTAAGTAATGGCAAGAATAAAGGCTGCTTGAGTAAGCCAACTCTTCCAGTGTGCTTTCCTGAGGAGTGCACTATTTTGCTTACTAAACGGCAGGCCACAAACTAACAGCCTCCTCGCTCTGACCTTAGTAAACTAATTGCTTACTGCTTTCACCTTCCGGCATGGCTTCTGCCTTCCTGCTAAGGGCTTAACAAGGTGATCAATCTGTACTAGTATGAAATCTTTCTTGTGGATTCCTCACTGTTTGACTCCTTTTCTTGGGATGAGCATTCCAAAGAATCTGAAGATCTACCCAAGAAAGGAAGGCTCTACCCCTTTGTGAACTGTGTGTGCCATGCCAAACCTTTCTTGTTGCTATTTTTGCTCACAGCAGCTGATGAGGGGAGGATCTTTCTACCATTAAGTACCCGGATTGAATTTATAAATCTTTATTGATTTTAAATATCCTGGCATCTTCTGTCGATCATTCATTTTCTGGTATCAGCCCCAGGGTTGCTTTAGCCAGCAATAAACACTTACTGCATAAGAGACCACCTTGAATTTAATTTCCGGGATAGATTGTGTAGTTTGCTTATTATTTTATGTGTATCCTGCCTTTATTATTTTTATTTCAAGGCAGAAAACATACAGAATACAGGTAGTCCTCGACTTATAACCATTCATTTAGTGACTTATGAAGTTACAATGATACTGAAAAAAGGGACGTACGACTGGTCCACACATCCTGACAGCCACATGATCAAAATTCAGGTGCTAAACCTTCCCAGCTGACTTCTGAGCAAGCAGTCAATGGGGGAAGCCAAATTTGCTCAATGACAGTGTAATTCACTTAACGACTATAGCAAAAAGGTCATAAAATTGGACACTACTCATCTAACAATTGCCTTGCTTAGCAACATGAATTCTGGCCCCAATTGTGGTCATAAGTCAACGACTACCTGTACTTCCTTCTCCCACTCTTCCCTAGCACAACAAACCTGTGAGGTGAGTTGGGCTGACAGAGAATGACTGCCCCTAGGTCACTCAGCCTGCTTTTAAGCTTAAGGCAGGACTAGAATTCACAATCTCCTAGCCTCTTGACCACTGGATCCATCAGTTTCCCCATTCATCTCTTATAGGACTTACACAATGTTTTGAACTACTTCAGGAATTAGTTCCGAATGATCCGGGATGATTTTCATAATGTAGTTGATTTGGGAAAATTAGCATTTTATTTCCTATTCTGTTCGAGTGAAAATTGTGGCAAGAGCAACAATCTCTTCTAAATCTCCTCTTATGGTCAGTGTTTTCCAGTTGGTTAAGAATTATTTTGTCTTCTGCCTCTTGAGCCAAAACAAATATAACTTTTCGCACAGCCGTTTAGATTTCTGTGTTTCTATCTTCTTTTCTACATGCATGATTTAAGAATTTATTTTCCTTCATCTCCGTACTCCCCATATCAACATGCAACTATGACTGTGGGTTCTGTTGATAGAAACAAGAGAGAGCGAGAGTGTGAGCAAGAGGGTGGGGGAGGTAGAGAGAGAGAGAGAGAGATTTAAAATGAAAAACATGGATAGTGGTACACAATTTTATTTTATTTTTCATCAATGATGAATGCAGGAGATACTTCAACTGTCTTGTCTGTACTCAAAACTTTAGCAGCATTTGGATTGGAACTATTGGAGCCAAAGCTATACTGTCAATATACTGTATATATATACACACCAAGAGGCTACGGCAGTTCACTTTTGTATCATTCACACAGACACATCTAGAGTCATCAAGTTCTAGTGGACAGAAGTTATCATAACTAAGGAAATAGAGCACTGGCCAGATGTTATTTAATATTGTTCAGATGGGTTGGAAGGATGGAAAGGAATTGAACTCCGATTGGCTCATGATATGAGTGCTGGACTTGCAAATATTTAGTCCATATAACAGTATTCAGTTCATGTTGTAGTAAGGAAAGAAGCAACCTAGAACCAAGGAGAAATTTCCTGGCGGTTAGAACAATGAATCAGTGGAAAGACTTGCCTCCAGAAGTTGTGAATGCTCCAACACTGGAAGTGCTTAAGATGAGATTGCACAGCCAATTGTTTGAAATGATACAGGGTTTCTTGCCGGAGCAGGGACTTGGACTAGAAGACCTCCAAGATCTCTTCCAACTCCGTTATTGTTGTCGACAAACAATAAAAATGCTCAAGGTTCGGCTAGGTGCAGCTCCTGGATAAAACCTCTGCAAGCTTGCACTGATTTTAATTATACCCAGCCCCCCCTCCCCCGTCATTCTATGAACAAGATGGGCAGTCTCTAAATTGGATATATAAATACAAAACCTAAGGTTTGGGATTCGCTTTTGGAAAAAGAAGGAGGCCAAGTCTGCTGAACATTTGAATTCTCCTAAGCACGCCGAAGAACTTCTTTGAATCACAACTTTTAATCATGGCCATCTTTTACCGTTCAGCGCATTTCCTTCTCCATTCTCTTAGTATGTTCCAAAATCTCTCTTACTTATTGGTATATATGGGGAAATGGGAGGAAGGAGGGACACAGAAACTTCCAATTATTTCATTAGAGCAACCTTAAAATGTTCATCCCCGAAAGATCAAGGAGAGATTCAACCTAGGAATAAGGAGAAATTTTCTGACATGGAGAATGATCAACAGTCAACAATCAAAAGTTTTGTCCCAAAGGTGCTTTTTCAAGAGGCAACTGGACTTTCTGGTTTTTTTCATTGAAGATGTTTTGCTTTGCATCCAAGAAGCTTCTTTAGTTTCTTGGTGAAGAAACGGCTTGGATGAGAAGTGAAATGCCTTCAAAGAAAAAAAACAGAAAGTCCAGTTGCCTCTTGAGACAGCACCTTTGGGACAACCATGAATTGGATGACTGAGAATCTCCATAGACAATCAAAAGCCCTAGTAAGACCATACCTAGAACACTGCATCCAGTTTTGGTCACCACTATAAAAAATAAGCTGAGACTCTAGAAAAAGTGCAGAGAAGAGCAACAAAGATGATTAGGGGATAAAACATATGAAGAACGGTTACAGGAACTGGGCATGGCTAGTCTAGTGAAGAGAAGGACCAGGGGAGACACCATAGCAGTGTTCCAATATCTGAGGGGCTGCCACAGAGAGGAAAGAGTCAAGCTACTTTCCAAAGTAGCACCTGAAGGCCAGACAAGGAATAATGGATGGAAACTGATCAAGGAGAGATTCAACCTAGAAATAAGGAGAAATTTTCTGACAGTGAGAACAATCAACCAATGGAACAGAAGTTGCCTTCAGAAGTTGTGGGAGCTTCATCACTCAAGGCTTTCAAGAAGAGACTGACTGCCATTTGTCAGAAATGGTGTAGGGTCTCCTGCTTGGGTGTGTGTGTGTGTGTGTGTGTATTTGTGTGTGTGTGTTGGACTAGATAACCTACAACATGGGTATTCAACCTTAGCAACTTTTAAGACTTGTGGACTTCAACTCCCAGAATTCCTCAGCCAGCTTAGCTTAGTTTAGAGTAGCTTAGCTGGCTGAGGAATTCTGGGAGTTGAAGTCCACAAGTCTTAAAGTTGCCAAGGTTGGAGACCCCTGACCTACAACGTCCCTTCCAACTCTGTTGTTTCTGAACTGCACGATCGAAGAACCTTGAGGCGACCGCAGCCTGCGCTGAACTGACCGCGGCCTCCAAAAGCGGTTAAGGATAGGTTGAGCCGTCAGCTTATCCTCTCCGCGCGGCCGAAGCTTCGCGGGCGACCGATTTCGCCCGGCTTAAAACGTGTCTTTTCAAGCAATCGGAACCGGCCGTCCATCCTCCACTCCCTTTTTTTTTTTTTCCCCCGTCAAGAAATGGCCCGGCCTGCTTGCCAATCAAACGACGATCCAATCAGAAGCGACCCGGGACTGCTCGCCGATCCAATCCGAAACGGCGTCAGCTTCCGCCGTGCAGTTAGCCAATCGCCTGACAAGCTGTTCCTTGGTGACGAGATTCAAACGGTGGGAAGGCGGCACCTCCACCTCCATTCCCACCCCTCCCCCCCACCGTCATCCCTCCACGAAGAGTGTTAATAACACGAACGCGGTGAGTTGCTCCGTAACGGCGCTCTTCCCTTCGGGCCTCGGTGGAGTTTTGCTCCATTAGAGGAGAGGCCTTTCCCTCCAGGCTTTCCCAGTTGGGGGGAGGCGGGGTGGGGGCTTTTTCGCGGGCCGTTATGCTGCTGCTTTCCCACCCACCCACCCACCCGTTCCCTTCTTCGAGTCGCTGCCTTCCTCGGTATATACGTTTCATTTCCTCCCGGTTTTTGGTTTTGAAGGAAAGCCGAGCCTCCCTACTCTCCATTTGATCGGAGCAAGAGCCTGATTTCCAAATCCTCGCCGTAAAAGCAAAAAGAAAAAAGAAAAAGAAAAAAAAGTGGTGTGTGTGTGTGTGTTGGTTAACCCAGACAAAGCCAAGAACGTATTTCAAAGGGTTCTGGGGAAACCAGAACGAGGCATATGAAGTGCTACGTCCAGTATTTGGGGTGAGGGAAAGGTGCTTTTGAAATATCCCGTGGCTTTCTGGAGGGTTAGGGTGGCTTTGAACGTACAGATGTTTTCCTCTTTCCCATGATAAGTTCTCAACTGTGGGGTGCTGCAACTCTCACCCCCTTTTACCAACATGTATGACTGCAACTATAGCCCTGAACAAAACCCAAGGATTTAATTGGGGCTAGATTTTTTTTTTTTATTTATAAAAAGGAACACATTCTTGGGAACCAAATTTAAATCTATGTATTAGGTCAGGGGTGGGCAAATGTGGCCCTTTTACAACCTGTGGACTTCAACTCCCAGAATTCCTGAGACAGCTTGCTGTCTCAGGAATTCTGGGAGTTGAAGTCCACAGGTTGTAAAAGGGCCACATTTGCCCACCCCTGTATTAGGTATTAGGCAAAACAATGATAGAAACCTCTTATTTTCCAAAAACGAGATCTTTCAACTGGAAACAAGCGGGAAAGCAGCCAAATTCAAATCTGCTTCTCAAAAGGGAAGGATTACTGTACAGCCCCTCAGGGGACTGCTTTTACTCTTAACCCACTTTCAATCAGGGGTTGATTCTTGTTTCCCCCCAACAGCAGTGCTGAGAAACTGGACTGGGCTACCATCCCTCTGGGCAGAGTTGGGAGCAAATATCCGAACAGTGATCCAGCCAGGAGCTGACACATCACTGATGCCTGCAGCCGAACCCTTGGAAAGAAAAGAAGCAAGCAAGCGCTTCCAGTTTGGCCTAGGAAGGTAATTGTTGCCTTGTCCAAATCACTTGCTGGAGGAAAAAAAAAAGGTATCCATTTAGGTTGCCTAATAGGTGTGTGTTTGCATTTTCCATTTTTTTCATTCTGCCACTCAGAATAAATATTCCAGATGTTGCCAGTCAGAACAGGCTTGTTTTGTACGAGATGGGCAACATAAAGGTTTAACAAATAATTATATTTATATCAGAAACATTGTGCAATTAAAACTTTCTGAAGGAAAAGTCATTTTATTCATGACTTATCTACCTCAGTTATTGGAATTTGGATAGGAGCAGTCAATCAAATTTCAGATTTATTATAGCTCTGAGGCCAGATACAAACAAGATATTGAATAAAAGAAGTATTACATCCTTCTATGTATATATGCATGTGTATAAAAGAAAATAAGTATATGGAGTCTAACAAAAATTAAGAACTTGATCTACTAAAATAAATCCAAATAAAATAGTATAAAAGATTTCAATCTTAAGTAGTGGTATGGTGTATCATACAAATGGTAGCGCAGAACTGTGCAATTTGAGAGATTATTTTTGAGTCCTTGTCTGAAAGTAATAGAATTAAATAGAAATTGCACTCCCAACCTGGAAATTTCTTCAAGACAGGATATAAGAGTCTGACTAGAATATTATTTATTTATTTATTTATTTATTTATTTATTTATTTATTTATTTATTTATTATATTTCTATACTGCCTTTCTCCCGTAGGACTCAAGGCGGTGTACAGTCAAGAAAAATATAGATACACAAACATCATAAAATTGCTAATTAAAATTATTACTTAGTTTGGTCAATTAAATAAAATCCAGAATTAGATAACATTTTTAAAAAATCATTCACATGTTCATACGTTTAGCCCCGCCTGTTGGAACATCAGGGTCTTGAGGGCACGGCGGAGAGCAGGGAGATCAGGGATATTTCGTATCTCAGGGGGCAGTTCATTCCAAAGGGTTGGAGCCTTCACAGAGAAGGCCCTCCCCCTGGGAGTCGCCAGTCGGCATAATTTGACTGACGGTACCCTGAGTAGTCCCTCCCTGTGAGAACGAACTGATCGTTCTATATAGGGAACAATATAAGAGCATATGGCCTAGAGTTTCTGTTGAACCACCACTACATGGAAATAACAAAAGATATATAGAAGTATCTTTAAAACGTCCAAGAAGGACTGCTAAGGATATAGTATCCAACCTGGCTAAAGTGAAGGCCTTATGAAACTTTAAAATTGGAATGGATAATAAATATCTGGCTGGAAGGGTAGTGTATGATACCTTACTTAGGCTTATTTGGAAATCTGTATCCCAGATTCGTTGCTTTCTAGCATTATCGAAGCCTAATGTTCACAGACTTCCCATGGAGAAGTCCAGCAACTGAGCTTTATCTAAGGCTTTTTAAAGCCATGATGATTTAGGCAGGAGCAGTTTCTTGCAGTATTAACAGCAGACCTAAGCCAGGGCCAGTCCTAGCTGTTTTTTGTGTTGTTGTTTTGTTACCCTCTATGTAGCTTTTTCTGTCTCCTGTCAAAATCGTGCCATCTTCCCATCACAAAGTACTCCTTACTACTTGCTTATTTCTTTCACTTCTACCACTCATCCAGTTACCTTTTGCTGCATTCTAATAGTGCCCCAATTTAAGTGCTCCACGCAGTTATTTTTTTCTTGGAAGGTGAAAAGGGAATGCTTTCCATAACTAGTGAAGTTTATAATTAACTACCTTTTGTTCAATAAACTCAATGTAGCATTCCCACTTTTCTACATCATGCATCTTCTCTGAACTTTATAAAAAGTGAAGTTATTGACTTCGGAGGTAGAATCAGGTTGGGAGAAAGTGACTGAACAAAGCTTCATGACTGGGTTTAGAAATTGGGTTTCCATAGTCATACCCTATTTCTCTGTGTTGTGTGTTGTAGTCTAACAATCCAAAAAGTTCTGTGTTCCTTACAACTGCAGGGGCACTTTATCTCAGTTAGAGTTTGATATGGGATAGAAATAGTGTTGGATTGGCAGCGGCGGGGGAATGTTGAAGCTTCCTGGTCCTGTTAGACTTCTTGGTGGCCTTTGATACCAATCATTATTCAATCTTACAGAACCCACTCATCAGAGTTGAGGATTGGGGGCACTGTTTTGCAGTAGTTCTGTTCCTCTTCAGTGGGCAGTTTTAGTCTAAAGGGATAAGAAAGTAGAAGTTTGGTGATACCCTGGTGTCTAATACGTGCAGTGCTTCAAAGGTTGGTCTTCTCTTCTCTTTAACATCTATGTGAAACTCCTAGGACAGGTTAGTGATGATATCAAACTTCACTGTGGCTATAGGGGAGATTCTCTTTACATCCTATCCTAGTGCCTAGAGGCTGCAAGGATCTGGATGGGAAGGAACAAACAGATGGAAGTGCAATTTGTATAGAAGGTTTTCTGTTGACAAGCAATCACTATCTTTGATAATATATTTGGTATTTCTGGACTCGAAGATTCTGTATGAATTGTAGGTGGAAATAATGGCTAGAGGGACCTTTGCTTAGTTCAGCTGGTATGCCTATTGTATATTTATCTACTGCAGGGGGACTTAGTTGTAATCAAATTTGCATCACCACCTAATTGCACCATTACAGCACATTTTACAGGGAGTCCTCGAATTATGACCACAATTGAGCCCAAAATTTCCATTGCTAAGTGAGACAGTTGTTAAGTGAGTTTTGCTCCATTTTATAACCTTTCTTGCCACAATTGTTAAGTGAATCACTGAGGTTGTTAAATTAGTAACATGGTTGGTAAGCGAATCTGTCTTCCCCATTGACTTTGCTTATCGGAAGGTCGCAAAAGGTGATCATAAATATGTGTCAGTTGCTGAGCATCCAGATTTTGATCATGTGACCAAGGGGATGCTGCAACAGTCATGTGAAAAATGGTCATAAGTCATTTTTTTCAGTACCATTGCAACTTTGAACATTCTCTAAACGAATGGTTGAAAGTTTAGCACTACCGATATATTGGGTTGCTTTTAAAGAAAGTTTAAAAACTATAACTGGTTCATAATACAGTGACTTGTGTACTTTGATTCTTAGCAATGGGAACAGCTGATATTTGAAGAAATTAAAACAAATAGAGAAATATATAATGAGGACAGGCTGCAGAGTATAGTTAGATGAAGATCTATATTCTATAGAATATTTGCATTGAAGAAAAGAAATTGGAACTTTTTGCAGTTCTCCTTTCTAGTGAATTAGGTGTCTGTCAAAAAACATCACAGGTAATATTAAGAACTGCAAGTCCAAGAAAATTCACTGTATTGTTCTGTTCTTCCTAGGAAGTTTTGATTGGTCCTGGTTACTGATAGAAGTGCTTCTCAACCAACCCCTGAGAACTGGGTGACATGTTCTGAGAACATTGAGGGACATATATTGATATGTGGTATGATATCATCATATGCATCAGTTAGATAAACAGCAGGGAGAAAGTGATTGTTTTGTTTGGTATGATTCTATTTCAAGTAGTTGTAGAGGTGAACATTTCTCAAAGCCTTTTTCCCATGGAGTCAGTTGATGAATACTGTAAGTGGTTGATTCATCTTAGGTAAAAGATAAGGTACTGAGAGAAGATGTAAAGTATTATTTGAGTTGAATCATTCATAGGCTATTATTACAGTAATAAACATCTCTTATATTTATTACAGGTTTTGAAGAAAACTGAAATAATAATGGGTGAGAAAATTGACTTTATTAGGTTCACAGTATTGCTATCATCACTATTTCATAATGGTTTATAGTGCATCTTTGAGTGTGGTATCAGTGTATAGAGATTTATTCCTAGAGAAAATGATATTGGTGATCGTTAGAGGACAATATATTTAAGGTTTGTGTACTAAGGCCAAAACAATGGCAATTTAATTTGAATATTTTAAATAATGCACAGAGATCCAAAATCAAGACTTCTAGTATATATTGAGAAACATTCACTTCTACACACATACAGCAAATTTCCTTTATGGGTTAATTTAATTAATTCCAATGTTTCTTAATGGAATTTATTAGATTCATATCCTTTTTTTTTTTCTTTAAAAGCTCATCAGTGTAGCATTCCTCCAATTTATATCCACAACAACAAACCTGTGAGTTGGTTTGTGCTAAGAAAATGATAGGCTCAAGAGTGATCAAGTAAACTTTGGTAATCCTGGGTCTTTCCATTGCCTGCCCAACACTTTAAGACAAATTCCTGGCTCGCTCGGGAATTCTGGGAGTTAAAGTTCACAAGTCATAAAGGGACTATAAGTTCCCACCCCTGCTTTAAGTCCTGCATCATGCTGGCTCTTTGGTAAGAGAATCAGCTGTTTTATCTATAGAGCATATCTATAAGGCTCTTATTGATTAAATGTTTGATTTGGATATACTTCATTAGCGTATCCAATTGAGTGATCTAAGAACATTCTTACTGGGTGAAAATAAGGACATAGATTTAATAATGGTTTCTACGGTTATCCTCAGATTTTGCATAGCTGGGACCATTACAAATCATGTTAGATTGATGTCGGTATTGCACTTGAGTTAGTGGTAGAAACATTTAAAATCTAAATTTGATAGTTGCAATGACAGAATGGTGTTGGTGGTTTATGGAAATAAGTCTTGTAATAAACGTAGATGATATGTCATAGTCCTTACACCTTTTATTTTTCAGCCTATTCTGCAGTCTGTTGTCCCCTTCTGCATTCCTACATGTGTGCCAACTGAGAAAAATATTTGATCTACCTATTAAAATCGGCTTTCGTCCATGCAGGTTTTTGCCACAATATATATACGACCTCATTTATGTATTTGTTGCAGCATTCTAAATGTATCTACCTCTCTAGAAAGAACACTACAGTGTGTCATCAGGAAGTGTGCCAATTGAGATCAAAAAAGCATTTGCTTGTTTCCAAACTCTTGCAAGTCCATATTTGTTCAAGATGCTAGGATCAGTTAAGGCAAGGGAGTGATTTGTTTGTTGAAAAAAAATCAGTTCAATCAGAGAAAGAAACTGAGCAAAATCTTGTATTGCCAATGGGAAAAGTTGCCTAACACTGTGGTGGTGTAAATGCAAATTATGCTTCCTTTCGCCTCCACATGAGTGAGATTTGGGGCATTAGGTCTGGTGTTGGTATAAAACTGTGTTTCTTAATTCTTGTCGTGAGTGTGTGGGAATGCTTTGTTGAGAGCAAGATTCTAAAGTAATAATCTTGCTTAATTTAAAGGATTATTTAAGATAGACTAAAAGATTTTGTGTCTTCATGTGCATATGTTAGAAAATAAATGTGAGATTACTGTTGACATTTGCTTTCCAAATAGTTTTCATTTCAATTTACAGTGGTGGAGTTGTTTATAGGATTATGTTATGCTTATTGTCATTGCCCAGTATGAGTAACAGAGAAGTGTTTTCTTAGCCAATATGCTAAGCTTCAAGTCACTTTAAAATTATATTAAACAAAAGAATTAATTGGCTAAATAGCAGAGTAGTGGATAATGATAAAGTATTGTTGATACTTGAAAGATATAATCTAAAAATATATCCCATCTTTTCCTTTAAACTATGGATTTCCCTGGTGATAAGCCACCAAACTAATGATCAATAGAGCTTGATAAACTTTGAATCTACAAAACCAAAGGTGATTGTCAAGCATCTATCCCAATGCATACTGTGGGTTGCATTTCACTTTTGTAGATGGGAAGGTGAATAGATCTGATTTCTTGTAAGACTTTTATGGATGTATTTGAAAGTATCATCACTGCAGTCCTGGTTCTTACAGTTAGATTACAATAAATAACATAAGTTAGTACTCATCTGATTTAAGATTAAGAGCTAAGTACATAATGTACCCTAATTATGGGAGCGTCATGGCACTCCCATGTAACGCCTCTCTTGTGCGAGCTGCACTAGCTTCCGGTGGTCCTCTGGGTTCGATTCAAGGTGTTGGTGACCACCTTTAGAACGCTCCATGGCTTAGGACCTGGATATCTACGAGACCGCCTTCTGCCACTGAGAGCCTCCCACCGGCCAGTACACTCCCACAGAGAGGGGCTCCTCGGGGTGCCATCGGTCAAACAATGTTGACTGGCGGCCCCCAGGGGGAGAGCTTTCTCTGGGAGCACCTGCCCTCTGGAACGAGCTCCCCCCGGAGATACGGACGATTCCGGATTTACGTACTTTCCGTCGGGCCCTCAAGACTTTTTTATTTCAACAAGCCGGGCTGGCCTAACTTCTTTAATTGTTTAATTTTAATTTTAATTTTAAATGGGGTATTTTAATTGTTGGGCCAAATTGTTTAATATATTTTAAATTGCTTTAAAATTTTTGTATTCTATGTTTTTTACCTTTGGCTGTTCACTGCCCTGAGTCCTTCGGGAGAAGGGCGGTATATAAATTTAAATTGAAATAAATAAAAATAAAATAATGATTTCCACAGTATATAAAAATATCTGAACCATAACAAAATCCATATGACTGTAAGTCAGTCTTTCTTATAATAATTCAATCTTACTGCTTTATTAATAATTTTTTTGGCAGCCTGGTACCATTTTCCTCATTCACTTATATTTTCTGCCCCAGCTTCTTAAGAACTGTCAACATTATGGAAGGGCCCACTGAGAAATTTTATGTATGCATAAAAGGATCCACAAAATAAAAATCCATTTTATCCAACACTAGATAAATTTCAAATTAAAGCAATTCATAACAAAACATTAGCTTCAACATTTCTTTTTAAATTCTTCATGCAATGATATTTTTTCCTGTTTTGATCAAGTCTGGTATTTTAGTTACTATAGTTCTTAGTTTTATGATTCTACACTGTGTGGAAGCAAAGACATCAATCCTCTGTTATCAGAAAATTGAATATGTTTGTGTGTATTAAGAATGCAACAGTGGCTGGTTCTGCATATGAATTAATTTTATGCAAGGGGAATCATATTGTGTATCTACTATATATTCTGATAAATTAACAGAAACTGGTCTTCATTATTCAATATTTTCAAGAAGGAAAAAGAGTCAAGATTTTTAGGAAAAAAAACCAGGAAAAATATTGAGATGTACAAATGACTATTAAGATGTGTGCTTTATTTTTCCCCCAAGAAGTAGGGAAAGTGTATTAGCAGTGAAGAGAATTGTTTGAGTGAATGAAAAAAACAGAAAAGAGGTTGAACAAGAAAGAGCTTTAGCAATTAATGAAGGAAAACAAATCTCAACCACAGATTAAACAGAAGAGTCAGTCATTCCCAATTTATAGATAATGTCTACTATCTGACTTCAGACTGTAAGAAGTTGGAGAAAATCAGGTTTCCCAAGTGAAAGTAAATCGCCAAACAGTCTAGAAAAGATGGTTAAGCAAGAATGACTAAAGAACAAGTGACCACCTTTGTCAGCTCTTCAAAGTAGACAAGGTCAAGAAACAGGTAGTATTTAGGAGTCTTTAATACACTTTAATGAGGTTTAGATTATTGCAACAGACTCTTCTCCCATTTACATACCTTCAGGTCCAGCAGGATCAGTGAAAAACATGTGCTCAGAGATAAATGGACTTCATTTAAAAGGATGAAAGTTTGAGCTGTCTATTAAACAGAGCCCCTCTCCTCTCCCTTCAGAGCAAATAGCTATACCTCTATAAAAAGGAAAAGGGGCACTAGAAACAATTGATTTTTGAGAGCAGAATTATTTCCATTTCCATTAATGTGGTTCACAGAAGTATTACAAAGAAGTAGAAATAAAGGAAGATTTGAATGTTTTTTTCCTAGCAAAACATCACTGATACATTTAGTAGTAGATTTTTTAAAAATGACATAATTTTTTATCTCACATCCTAAATTGTATACTTTTAATTTAAACTCCGACTGAGGATGCACTGGGGAGAGGCAAATGTGGCAATTCTGTGAGGTGGCTTTATACTGCTTCAACTGGTTGCTTTTGCAACTTTGTTAATGTGCTCTGTTGCCAGAAAACCTGAATGTGTATGCTACATATGATTATGCCACATTCTCAGAAAAGTTGCTTGGCTAGCTTTGTGGGAACACAGAAAATATTGCATTAAAAACTAAGCTAGGCAAATGCAAATGTTTCCTACCAAGTTACTTATTTTTTAATGTACAAATTAATATGATTTAAATTGCATTTAACTGAATTCTTAGTATATGTGCTGAATAAAGCAGAATTTGATAGATCTAAATTATTATATTTTACTGAAATGTATAGCATTACAATGTTTTTGCAATTAATTATTCCTGTAAAATACTGGTTATAAAGTTATCCCAGTTTCTTTTGAACGCTAAAGTTAAACATTCAGATATTTAGAAAGCTCTATATTTAATATGACTTTCCATTTTCTAGAGATGCAGGAAGACGATTTGAGTGAAAAAGGTCTGTTTGTTGCATCTATTATGAGTAGAGTTAGAGACCTAAAAAACAAATGTAAAAATGAAGATAATGTTACAGATGAATTTAACTTTACTAAAGTATCAACTGATACAACAGGTATGTCACATTTAATGATCAACTGAATAGAAGAATTCCTTCTCCACAAAAAATGTCTGTTTTCTTTAATTTTTTTAACAAATTATGTTCAGTGGACATGTATTAAATTTCTTCTGACAGAAAAGAATAAATGTAGTTTCTCTTCTATAACTACTACTTTCTATTTTCCCTGCAACATTTTTCTAAGGTAGCTACCCGTGTTTCCCTGAAAATAAGACCCTGTCTTATATTTTTTTGAACCCCAAAATAAGCACTTGACCTTATTTCCAGGAGGTCTTATTATTTTGGGTCACATGGAGCAAGATGGGGCTCCTCTTGCCATCTTACCTGATTTCCAGCTCTGCGTTTAAATATTTTGGGGGGGGGGATTATTTTCAGGGGGGAGGCTTATTTTAGCGCATGCGCTCAAAAGCCCTATTCGGCTTATTATCAGAGGATGTCTTATTTTCGGGGAAACAGGGTATATGTTTTTGTATTGACACTTGTTTAATTTTGTTCCTCAACTCTTAAAGATTTAAGTAATCTTAAAGATATAAGTAATACTTATTTTTTAATAGCCAATATAAGGAACATTTGTTTATTTGTCAGATAATGACCTCAGTTGGAATGGCCTATTTTGAAATATGTTGCCTACTCATTCTCTCTGTATTATTGTGCATACATGAACACACACACACACGCGCGCGCACACACACAAGCAAAGAACTTCCGGTGGTCACTTAATATTTTGAGTTTCTTTTAACTAAATGTTTGTCGTTTGATTACCAAAAGTCTACATTTCTAGGTGTAATGCATCTTTGTATTTAATAAGAAATAATTCCATTCAAAAAGCATTAAAAGAAAATATTTAAATGTCTTGCAGTATTTGATGCTGTTATGTAATGCACACAAGCCACCAGTCCCTCTTCACAATTATTGCATTACAAATTAAAATAATAACCTGGATGTTATAATGGGGATTGTTGTATCTAGTTAGACACACATACGCACATCTGTTTGTAGACTTGATTACTCTTTTGTGAGGAATAATTTCCTATATTAATTTTGAAGATGGATTTGTTTCTTTTTAACAGTGCCTTAAAGACACTTTTTGTTTGTGTGTTTTAGATAATTCTGGAACTGTTAATCAGATTATGATGACTGCTAATAATCCTGAGGATTGGTTGAGTTTCTTACTCAAAATGGAGAAAAGGGGCACTTTTCAGACTGACACAAGCTTACTAAATAGATTGATTGGTCGTTACAGCCAAGCAGTTGCAGCACTGTCAGCAGAAAAATATAGCCAGAATGAAAACTATGCTCATATTCTGGTTAGATTTGCGGAACTGAAAGCGTAAGTATTTGCAATCTGGGAAAAAAATTCAAATGGACTCACTTTGATAGCGTTGTGCACAAAACCATGCGTATTTTAACTGTTTTGTTAAAGTCATAAAAAAGAAAAACAATCCTAAAATTTCAATTTTAATTGTTTCCTTTTTGTTGCTTTTGCCCTTGCATTTCTGGATTAAAGGCTTTGACTTTACACAGACCCCATCTAGAACATAAACTAGTCCTGTTAGATCAGGCCCATCTTAACTCAACATTTTATTTTACACATCCAGCCTCTCAGGTAGTCTTGAGGAGATGGAGACAATCTTACGTTTTCCATTGTTCATCTACAACTGGTGTTTAGAGGCATCTTTCCCTCAGACTGGAAATGACATTAAGCCATCAAGACTAATAGACCTTGATAGGCTTGTCTTTCATGAATTGATCCAGTTTTCTTTTAAAGCCATCCACATACGTGGCTATCATCACGGTAATTGATTTTACAACTGTTTTTTATTTTTATTTGTCAAATTTATACGGCTTCCCATCTAACCCAAATTGACTCGTGTGTGTGTGTACAATAAAACCAAAAATTAAAATACTTCTATACTGTAAAATCCATCTTCCACAAACCTTCTAATATAGAAACACATCAGTAATGTCCGACATACATTCTTATGAAAAGCCAAGCAATTTCCCTATGAACGAATCGCTGATTGTCTTCAATCAGTTTATCAATCTTCCCGATATGACACTTGTCTGTTGCTGTCACCAACCTCCACTTTGTATGTGATTACACAGCTCTTCTTGGTTCACCACCTTCACATTGTTTGGGACCAACAACCTAGAATACTCACAAAAATTCAACCTATTACTTAAAGCACAGGAAAGGGTACTTACTGCAGGCTTCTACTTCCAAACAATAGCAACACAAGCCTATTCTTCCCATCCAATGAAGTGACAGAGCCATGCTAAAGAACATGACAGATATTCTGCCACACCAGTACTGCCATCTGTGGACAATTTATAACATTGGAGGCATTTGTCATTCAACTTTTGCATGTGTAAAATTATGTAGTTATTCTACCATAATTTCTATTGTTTAATCTTTACATAACCTGATTGCATTTGCTTTTTGACTGATCATTCACCCTGTTCAAAATGATCCTTCTGGAGCTCTTCAGAATCACATTAATTTTTGCCAACTCCAAAGAGATGGTGTCATTTGCATATTTGGCCAATTCACTGTTTACCTTTAAATCATGATAATTAAAAGCAGTTTAAAAACTAAAGCAGGTTCTTAAGTGACTTCATTTAATCACGCTCATTAATATTTTCTGACAGGTTATTTGTATTTTTGTGTTATGTACTGTATATACAAATTCTTAGAAGATCTGTACCTTCTATCCCTTAACCACTAATTCAAATGCTTTTGAAAATTCTAGTAAGCAAAACTGATAGGGTGATCCCCAGCATTACATTTATTGAAGCTCTCAGAAAGTCTCCAAAAGTCTGGGGAGGCAGGAATTACAAAAGTTCATATCCTTCCCTCCTTTCTCATTTAATTGCCCAAAAGTCTGATTTCATAGAGGGAGATTATTCGACAGGGTTCTTTTCAAAAGGAAAAAAAAACCTACTTCCTGGCCTTCCCTCCTTCCCTTCATGGAAGTAGAAAAGACTTAGTAGGTTATCACAGGAAGCAGGCATTCAATAGGTTGTTATTGGAAGAGGTAGTCTTGACAATACCCAGTGTCAAATTTTAAAGATTTGACATTAGCAATTCTTATTGATCATTTTGTTGTTTTTGCTACCTGTTTCTCAATTCCTTACACACTTTCAGCTCCTTTTGTTTTCCTCATTAGGATAGAGTATCCATTTTGTGGCGGCTTCCTGAACACTACGGTACTAGAAATCCATGGTAGCTCATGCTTGGATTTGGTTGGTCATGTGGAATTGTTGTGGAATATATTCTATTGAGCCTCAGTTGCTACTTTAAATAACATTTGCTGGCTTTGACTAAGCAGAACTGGATATGATACTTCTGTTAGAGACCACCATGCTAGGGATATAGGCAAGAATGTAAGGTGAAAAAAATCCAGAGAAAAAGTAATAGTGAAACAGTTCTGTACTGTTTCCAAGAAACCCAGATAGATGTGTCCGATGACACCCAAAGTTAAGTTTGATCTGAAGGGTATACTTTTATAGTATGAAGAAGATAGTTTTGTATAAATGTTATAGCTTCTGCAATCCTGTAAGGGTTTTATTTATTGTTTAAAACCCTATGTAACATTTTTCTCTCTGAATTAATCCGTATTGTATTGGGTTTTTTTTTATTTGCAGTATTGAAGAACCAGAAGACGCACGTGATCAATTCCATCTTGCTAGGCTGAACTGCAAGAAATTTGCTTTTGTCCATGTAGCTTTTGCACAATTTGAACTCTCACAAGGTTTGTAGAAACAGGTTTATAGTTAAATGTAGATTTGCTGCTATTTAGCTTATTTTAGCCATGTAGAGAGATTCAATTGTGCAGTTACAGTCAATGTTTTTTCTTCTAAGGACACAATTATTTGGTTAGGTAGGAGAACACATGGATTACAGAATGATTAAATGGTTCTTTTCTTTTTAAAGGTAGCGTCCAACAAATTTTACACCAAAGAAGACAAATTTAGAATACATCATTTCTTTACTGTAATTTGAACATCATATTGTCCTGTTCTAACTCTATTTTTTTACTTCACTACTTCTCCAATGCATTGAAAGTTCAACTGGTCAAAAGTAAACTATTTTTAATTGCGGTGTAAAGATATTTTTGCTGTGCAGTACTTGGGTAGCTGTAAATTGAAATAGTGAATAGAAATAAACTAAGGTGGCATTTCTATGTAATAGTGATTGTTATATAAAATATTTAATAATGTATTTACCGTATTTTCCGGCGTATAAGACGACTGGGCATATAAGACGACCCCCAACTTTTCCTGTTAAAATATAGGGTTTGGGCTATACTTGCCATATAAGACTGCCCCTCTTCCAATGCACACCAAATAAAAATTAAAAAAACATCAACTGGCTCACCTACAATGTAAAAGCAGCTGTGCTAGACCCAAAATGGCCCTGTAACAAGCAGCAACCTCACACAGCCACAAAAAGCCCCCCCAAAAAACTTTCACACTCTAAACACACACAACACAACACAACTGGCTCACCCACAATGTAAAAGCAGCTGTGCTAGACCCAAAATGGCCCCTGCAACAAGCAGGAACCTCACACAGCCACAAAAAGTCCAAAAAACCAACTTTCACACTTTACACACACAAAATTCCACATACAGCTTTGTGAGATTTTGTGTGTTTGTGTAGTTGGAGTGAAACACTACAGAAACACACTAAATCTCAGAAAGCTGCACAAATATTATTTTATTTTATTTTATTTTTATTTTTATATGAAAGCTAAATTTAAAACTTCCTAAACGGCTTCCTAAATGGCTAGGTCTAAAAAAGAACAACTAAAAAACCCCCAATTGACTATTTTTTTTAAAGCTCCCAAAGGGGAAAAATCTTACCCAATAGAACAGGGGTCTCCAACCTTGGCAACTTTAAGACTTGTAGACTTCAACTCCCAGAATTCCTCAGCCAGCTTTGCTTTGCTGGCTGAGGAATTCTGGGAGTTGAAGTCCACAACTAACTCCTTGCTTGATTGCAGGCAGGGAGTTGCTTGCTTGCCTGAATAGATTCAAGCAAGCAAAGCAAGGCAAGCGTTGCGATTAGCAGCTGAGGTAAGCAAGCTGGAGGGGGAAAACTTTTTCCCTTTTACATGGCTGTGGCCATCCCAGCTGAGTTGCAGGGAACTCAGCTGGGATCGTCAGAGCTGGGATCCTCAGAGTAAAAGGTAAAAAACTTTTTCCCTTTTACGTGGTTTCTGGCGATCCCAGCTGAGTTGCAGGGAACTCAGCTGGGATCGCCAGAGCTGGGATCGCCAGAGCCATTTAAGGCTCGTCAGAGCCTTTCGGGCTGGTCTGCCTGGTTACAGGAGAACTACACCCGGCGTATAAGACGACCCCCGACTTTTGAGAAGATTTTCATGTGTTAAAAAGTCGTCTTATACGCCGGAAAATACGGTAATATAATTCTTTAAATTGTAGTTATTTCATTACAGGATGTATATCCCATCTTTATTTTATATAATTCAAAATGGTATACATAATCCTCCCATCTCCTATTTTCTCCACCAGAACAACCCAATTAGGTAGGTTGGACTAAGAGAATAACTGGCCCAAAATCACTGCACTGGCTTTCATGCGTAAGGGAGGGAGGACTAGAACTCAAGCCTCCAAATTTTTATCTCGGCCCTTAACCACTTGCCAAACTGCCACTCATATTTAAATAATTTAATATTAAACTTTCAAAACAACTACATTAAGATCTTAGAAAAATACTGATATATATATATATATAAATTTTAAATCTTAAATAAAGGAAATAATCATAATCCTCACTTAATTATTGAAGATGGGACCAGCAACTCTGTTGCTAAGTGATGCAGTCATTACACAGAATGTCATGTGACTACTCTGTTTAGCGACAGCAGTTCTGGCAATCCCAGTGGCTGTTGTTGAGTGAATCTCACATGGTTGTTAGGTGAGGACTCACCTGGATCCAATCCATTCTTGGAAGAAGATAAGGGGCTGCCTCCACTTCATCTTCCCCCATCCACCTATCCCTTTCCGCTGATTCTCCCCGCTGCTCAACCCTTCCTACAGTACCCACAACATTGCATGCCACCACTGTACTGATTGACTTTTTCTGTGCCCCATTCTTTTGTGCCAGTGCTGGGGAGACCTCTTGGATGCTGACCTTATCCTCCATCCACAAAAGAAACCCCTAGCCAAAGTGCAAGAGAAGCCCCAGCCGGTGTGTAAGAGGAAGGCCCTACCTGCACTGGCACAAAAAGAACGCCCCCAGTCTGTACAATGGTGGAAAACAGTGAGGTGGCATGATAGTGGCAGGCAAGGCCAGACTGGGAGCAGCTAAAGGCAGCAGATAGATGGGCAGCCAAAAGAGGATTATAAATGCGGGTAATCCAGAATTTTGGTCTGTTGACCGCAGGGGTGCTACAATGGCTGGAATTTAAAGAACCAGTCATAAGTTCCTTCATTAGCACCATTATAGCTTAGAAAGATAACTGAACAAATGAACATTAAGCAAGGACTATGTTTACTTATCTCAGTATATAATAAATAATAAAAGACATCTACATCTTACATTGTTTTCCCTTAGCTTGATAATGTCAAATTTTAAATAGAGAAAATGCATTGACCATTGATTTATTTTAACTACCTGTGTGACATTGAAAACTGTCTCAAGTAAATTTAATTTATTTGCCTAATTATGTCTCAAGTAAATTTAATTTATTTGCCTAATTATGGATTATTTCTTTTGATAAAAGCTATTATATTAATTCTGTATAAAAGGTTCTCTGTGATACTTTTGAAATTAATGTTTCACAAGAAACAAAAAGAAAAGCTAGATGTGCTGTAAAGGAAAAATAATTCAGCAGAACGCTTTGAGAAATAATCCTTTTGAAAATAATTGCAGCAAGTAGTAGTTCTTTGTTAAATACTTTGCACTTGGGAGCCAGATGGGATTGGTTCTGATTAGATGAAGATTTCTAGGGAATTCTGTTCCTTTAGGATAGATTGGGACATCAAAGGGCACTTTGGAAGATGATTTGGTGTTGTTGCGAAGAAAGTTGCATTGGTATATCCACATAATCGCACAATAGGAACTCAACACCGGACATTATTTTCTTTATTATTTTCAAAAATATGCAATTCTTTTTTCTTGGAAAAATAAAAGGACTGTTATCTTTTACTAGGAAATATCAAGAAAGCGAAACAGCTGCTCGAAAAAGGTGTAGAATCAAGAGCAGTTCCAGCAGAAATGTTAGAAATTGCTCTACGAAACTTAAACTTACAAAAAACACAACTACTTTCTGTTGAAGAAAAAGAAAATTTGTCAGGTGAGCCATAAACTGTTGATCATTTTTAAGTAAAAGGATTATAACTTGGGTAAGTAACCTCATTCTGTTCTAAGCTACTCCTGTAGACTTTAGAATTTTCATATAAACTTAAAAGTTTGGAGTTCACTTCACTGGGAAATTAAACACTAATATATACTATAGCTATTTAGAAAATAACTATTTTATTTTTGAAAAAAATGGCTCACAATTTTAATTTATTCATTCAAATGTATCAATCATAATTCCTGTCAGGGTAATGATGATTTAATAGCTGACCAGCTGCTGTAATGCTGTAATACTGTAATAATGATGCAATGGTAGTAATGAGTCAGCAGGGTTATTTGACTGATACCACTTTAAGAGTCTGTATTATAAGAGAGGCCCTGTTGGGGCATATCTCTCTCTCCGTATGTGCTTCTGTGCTATAGTTGATGATTGATTGCCTGACTTTGCTGAATACGTGTATGTATATATTCCTTGTAGATAAACCACTATTTGAAAGACAAATCTCTCTTTACTGTATTTGCTCCTGGGGTGTCCCAAAATAGTCACACTGTGCGCACTCTGACAATTCCAGCTTTCATTTTATTGCCTACAATGCTTGTGATTTGGTTAGCTCTAATTAAATTGGATGTTTAGTATGCACAAACCTATCAATTATAGATAGGGGGAATTTTACTTTAGAAAAATCTATACAGGTGGTCCTGAGCTTATGTTTATTCGTTCAGTGAAGTTAGGACAGCAGTGGGAAAAAATGGACATACAACCAGTTCTCAAAGTTCTGACTATTGCAACATCCCCATGATCACATGATCACAAACCCGATGTTCGGGTGTCTGGATCGCAATTATGATATCACAGCAAGCCACATCACATGATTGCCAGTTGTGACTTTCCCTGCTGGCTTCCCACAAAGTCAATGGGAATGTTGGCAGAGAAAGTTGTAGGTAACCTCAGTAAGTTGTTCCCGGTATTTTTTTTCCCTGAGGAGTCCACCACTGAGTATGAGATCCCAGATATCAGTATCAACACCAATTATATCTTTCAACTCCAGGGCTGGCCAAGTGATGCTGTCGAGGTTATGTTCCAATGCCTGGAGCTACCGTTTTTACCATTTTACCAAATTTAATGTACAATTTGGGGTTCTCACTGGACTCTCAGCTCCTGCTTGATGAGCAGGTAGAAACTGTAGCCAAGAAGACCTTCGCTTCATCTAGTATGTCAGTTGTGCTTTTTGCTAGATCAAGGGATCCCTTTAGCAGTTATTCATGCCTTAGACATCTCACGTCTCAACATAGGGCTGCCCTTGAAGACCACCCAGAATCTTCAACTTTAAATTGTTTTTAGCATTTTATAAATTGTCCAGAGTTACTGGGAATTGGGCAGCACATACATTTAATAAATGAATAGATACATATGTTTAATTTTCCTCATTTTCTGTATTCTTCTGCATCATTTTTTTATTATTTTAGTAGGGGGAAGGAGCAAGAAGTATGGAAGTATTGAAAGCCTGCTCCCAAGCACTGGATATTTTTATTTGGCTAGATGTTATCATGTATTATATATGTGTTTTAGATTCTGTACAAATGGACATGCACATAACACTTCATTCCTGCATTAAACCAAATGCGTATTTTTTTGATATCATGCATCAGCCATGGAATATAAATGTGCCAAAATGCAATTGCTTTAAGGTGTTCCTGATAGATGCTGTATGCCAGTCCACATGCACTTTGAAATATGTTTTGCCCTTTGAATTCCATCACTGCATAGCTCTAATAGGTAATATGAATTTTAGAAGAATGAGGATAATGATTGATTTAGAGTGATCTAAGTGTAATTATGATGTGACATTAATTCAAATCCTAAAATGTTATTCAACATACCTTACTTGCTAGAAAAAGATGAGTAAACTTAAAGTTCTTCATGGTGCTATGATAAAATATATTAAAACATGTATTCTGAAATATTGTGCATTTTATTGTATTGTTTAAATGTACAGTATTCAGCAGAGATTGACTCAAATATTTTAATTTTGTATCTTGGTAAATTGCATATTTACAGGAGCTAATTTGCACAATATAACTGAGAACTTGCAGAATAAGAAAAAAAATACTGATTTTAATGAGATCACTACCAGTATGCCCAGTTTTTTCCCAGGGTAAGTGGATTAAAATATTACACAACATTCTTTTTGTTCTAGCCTCAGTCGCCTTGATACAACTGCATGTCTCATGTTTTCATTTTAGAGAGAAAAATGATTCCTCGAGAGAGACTGAATTGGTTTTTGGTGGACGCAAACCATTAACACAATTAAATAAGTCTAATCAGGTAGAAAGCTTTATGTTTCTATAAATATTCCACAAATACAACATATTCTTTATGCTTCTGTTATATTTATTTATTGACTTCCATCTGATCAGTTCCATTGTATTTTATTATTTAGAAATGTATGTTTGGGAGAGTTCCTCTTCAATTAAATGAAAGTGAGAGTAATGCAAATGAACCATTGAAGGTGGAAATTCCTACTGTTGCAAAGAGGTATGAAACAATTAAACTGGCTATAGAGAAGGATTTTGGGATTTTGACAGGAAAGAGTATCCTGTGTGTAAGTTGACGTTGAAAGGGCAGAGTCCTCAATATGTTGACTTGGAAGGTAGTCTCCAGACTAGAGTTCCTACATTGTACAGAATAGCATGAGCAACCTATGTTGCATTTGTGGCTTGGTAGCCAAAATAGGAGAAAACTTAAGGGCAATAGTTTAATTTACACCCCTTCCTTATCTTATTAACTAAGTGTTACTTGAAAAACCTTGATTGACCAACTAAATGATGGGCAGCAGAAGCCAAATATCTGTGGTCAAATTTCTGGTGGTGACCAGATAGCATGGTCTTGAACTGAAGTGCAAAGAGCATGAATTAATTAAGGAATGAAAGGAAAAAAAGGCTGGGTGATTTTGGGCCAGTCACTTTCTCTTAGCCCAATTCATCCCACAGGGTTATTGTGGGAAAAATGAGGAAGAAGGAGTATTGGTACAGTATGTTCACCACCATGAGTTGTAGATGAAGCAAGGCAGAATAAAAAATTAAAAAAATAGATTTTTAGATATCTGCAAAATTAATTACATATGTGTTTGTGGAAGAGGATGTAATAGATTTACTTTTAATTTCTTTTCCTCTCATGCTTTCTAATATTTTTGGTTTACTATTTCTTGCTGCTTTTTGTGGCTTGTATAACATTACTTATCCTGAAAGGGAATAGTGTGATAGATGTGTATGTAAGCAGCAGTTAAGTTTTCTTTGGGATAATGTATCAGGTGTTAAATGCTTATGGTGAGTAAGATAAAATACCAGAACAATTGAGTCTGTTTTTTTCTGTTTCTTCACCATATGTAGTAGACAGGGAAGGAGCAGGTAACTTTCCAGACCTCTGAATAGCTTTATAAAATTTGCTTAGGTGTACCATAAGTACAACTATGAGGCACAAGCTGTTTACCTATTACAGAGTAATGTTTCAAACTCATTTGCTTCTAAAAGACAATTTTGAATTACTGTAGGATTGATAAAGGGCAGAAAGACAAACCCAAGGCCACAGGGTTTTGGAAAATTTCTATTGAAGTCTGTTTTAAAGTGTTTATTTATCAAGAAAAAATGCCAAATTGATATCTTGTTTTTTTTTTTTTTAAAAAAAAATAGTTATATTAGCTTGTGCTCCTTGCTAATTTTTGAGTACTGTTGCTTCTTAAGTCTGGAACCTTGTAACTAAATTTTAATATTCTGGGAAACTAGGCAAACATCTGGAACCAATCTGATCCAGCTACTACAGCCTGAATCAAAACTTAACCAAAGTGGTCCTTATCTGCCCAGAGACTTGAAGGTAATAGAATACTCTGTTTCATGTCTGTTGTTATTGTTTAGAAAGTTGTAGGAGGAGGAATAAGAGAAATGGAATTTGATTGAGTAAATTATGGGAAACTGCATCTAGAAGTTACAGATAAGAGGTGGGCAGATACCAGAGTTCTAATTCTGGAGGGAAAATCTGCTTCTTGATGTCCTTTCTCGTCCTTTCTCAGGAACATGGGGAAAGTGTTTCCTGCTGCTGGCTCCTACACAGAGAATTTTTTTTCCCTGTATAGCACCAACTGGGACAATTCATTTAATATTGTAGAGAAAATAGCAGAGCTCTTATTTGCAGTGCTCCAAATAAAATGTCTAGCAAATGTGGGCCTTGATAATATCAATTGCCTCTTCCCTTAATCAAAGAAAATAGATTGGTAACTGAAGGAAAGTCTCTCTTGCAGATGTTCTTGCTGGAGTACTTGTTAATTGTGTCTTGCACTGCAAATAAAGAGCTCTGCTTCAGCCACCCTTGACTGAGGGCAGACCAGTTGGCCCACAGAATGGAGATCTCTATTCTGCATACAGTATAGATCAGGGGTGTCAAACTCTATTTCATTGAGGGCTGCATCAGGGTTGTGTTTGACCTTGGGGGGCCCGGGGAGGGGGTGGCCAGGGTGGGCGTGGCCTGCTTGACATCACTCATTGAGGCTCCATTTTAAGCCACGATGGCGTCCTGCAGCCCTCTGCCAGCGAAAATGGAGCCTGGACACACTGTGTGCAGCCTGCCCAAGCTCCGTTTTCGCTAACAGAGACACTGCAGGCCAGTCCTTCGCTGTTTCCAGGGTGGGCCTGTGGGCCAGATCTAAGCACCCTGCAGGCCAGATCTGGCCCGTGGGCATTGAGTTTGACACCTGTGGTATAGATCATTTATTTTCTTCTGTTCAATCGTGTCTGACTCCTGGAGACTGCCTAGACAAGTCCCTGCAGTTTTATTGACAAGGTTTTTCAGAAGTGGTTTGCCATTGTCTCCTTATTAGGGGTGAGAGAAAGTGACTGGCTCAGGGTCACCCAGCTGGCTTTGTGCATAAAGCAGGACTAGAACTTACCTTCGCCTGATTTCTAGCCTGATACCTTAACAACTACACCAAACTGGCTCTCATAGGAAAAAAAAATAGGAATTTGGTAATAGAGTCATACCAATAGAGGTGGGAGGAACTTTCCTAAGCAGATTTTGGGATGGGATTCAAATGAAGAAGATAATCCTGTTACATAAACAGGTCCTGTTATAAGATGACTCAGCCTTCAATCCTTCCGAGGTGAGTAAAATGAGGACCCAGGTTGTTGGGGGCAATATACTGACTCTGTAAATCACTTAGAGAGGGCTGTACAGCGATATATAATTTTCCCCTATTTTAAAAACATAGTCATTTATATCTTGCAAAATAAAACGGTGTAGACAAATGTGGGTGAACTGTACGTTCATCCCTCCCTCTTTTCCCTTGAATGCAATCAAAAAGTAAAGGTTAGATATTCAGCCTTAACAAGACAGCAGTTGATGAAATAAGAGAACATCTGAACCAAGTGATATATTGTGACACTAAACGGAATATTTATGACATGCTTGAAATTTCTACTCATTAGACCCTTTGATTTAGATGAGACTGGATTCTGATGCTGTAAGTTTTTCAGGAGAGTTTTTGCCAGGAATCTCTGTGTCTCATTTTGCATTGTTCAGGAGAGTCTTTAAACTCGGTAGGCCAGTGGTAGCTTGCATAGAGGAGAGATTGGGAAACTGTTCTCTGTGCCATAAATTCTCTTTGAAGGGTACATCTGCTTAACGTGGTTCAGACCCCCTTGATGTGCTGCACATTTTCATCTGTGGATTTTGGGCAAGTGGAACTGGGGAAAGGAGTGAGTGGTCATGCAGCCATTAACTGGAGCCTTATTTTTCTTCCTCTTTTATTTAGCCTTTGCCAGTTAGAAATCTTATACACTCAGATGAAGAAAATTCAGAAGTTGCTATGAATTCAACTCTAACGTTAAAGGAGAAAAATGATCCCGTTAATGTTAAAAAAAGAGGTTTGTTTTAATGGATGTGGAATTATGATAACTTTGTTATTTTTATAATTTATTAGCATTGTTCAGTGCTCTGGGTTCAAAAGAAACAAGGTGGGATTTCAATGCATCTGTGGAGCGCACAGCCTTTGTAAAGGTGCAACTGCTTTAAGGAGTTTGAAAGGTGTTCCTTAACTGGCTCCATATGCTCCAAAGTAACTCTTTCCCTTTGAATTCAAGGAACCGCAAAGGCTTATGATTTATACCTTGAATATTGTGTGTCAAATTTGATTTTGCATTTTGTATTGAAAATTTAATTCTGAAAAGGAAGCAATGGTCTGTGCTGGTTTAAGATATGCTTTCTGTAGGCAATTAAGTTGGTATGCATAGATTTCTTTGCTCAAATAGAGCATAGACATAGACATAGCACAATCTTCTTTATGAATTATAGAAAGAGGAAAAAGAGGAAACCACTGGTTGAGTCAAATCAAAATGTAGCAATATAGATTCTTATTGATTTCTCCAGAAACTACAGGTAGCCCTTGACTTACAACCATAATTGGTAAGGAGGACAGGCAGTTTCCCTCTGTGCACAGAAGAGAACCCCTGCAACGGGCTGCAGAAATGAAACTCAGATCTTCGAGATCCTCTCCTTTCCCACCACAGGAGGGAATTCCTGTGCTGCGCTGGAGAAATGAAGCAGGGATTGCAAAGATCCTAGCTTCATTTCTGCAGCCTGATGAAGGAATTCTGCCCCTCTGTGCACGGAGAGGAGGGGAAAGAGTGGAATCCTTTGGCAGGTTGGCAGCAGCTTGCAATCTTCCCTGCCAACTTCCCCATTGACTTTCTGGGGAAGCCAACAGAGAAGATTGGAAATGGTGATCCCATGATTGTGGGGTGCTTAGCAACCGGTCGTAAGTGTAAACAGGTTGCCAAGTACCCTGATCATGCTTAGGTGCCCATCAGGGTTGGTGGCGCAATATTTTATGACAGCTGGAAGTGCTTTACAGACTGTGAAACACTTTCTGAGCTATCGTCACTTCGAATGGTCATTAACTGGGTTGTAAGTTGAGGTGACCTGTACCTGCAGTGTTCTGTCTAAATATTCTGAACTGGCTATGTTCTGCTGAAGCAAAATTCAAGGGAACACACGCATTCCATTTTCCGTTTCAAATCTCTTCAGGTGTTTCCGCCATAGAAAACAATAGAAATTGGCAAATAGATTACTTTTAAAAACATTTTTATTTCCTATATGATTTGTCCTTTTCTTGACTGGCTGTTTTATTTAGATATTCAACTGGAATCTCTGTCATATTCATTTTAATAACTAGATTATTTGTTTCAGAAACCGAAATACTGCAGGAGGAACCAAGAATAATAGAATCCGCCTGTCTGGAAGGACAACAGCAGCCCCTTCTTTCTCTTGGAAGTTACCAAAAGGAGCAGGAGCAGTTCAAATTAAATTGTCTTGCATCTAAAAATAAATGGTCCCACCTTGAAACACAGCATAAAAGAAACTCAGAGGTAAATCTGTCAATGCAAATTATTAATTTAGTCAATGTAAAAATTGATCTTGAGCTTACCTAGCTTTTGAGATTGCTGGAATTATAATATAGTGATGTTCTGTGTCTTTTTCGTTTAACCACATCTTTTCCAGTCCAGGAAAAATCTCATTACTTCAAAGTGAGGGTATGCAGTCTAGTGCCTGGGATCATATTAGTATGATCCCAGGTATGTGCATGGCGCAGTAGTTAGAGTGCAGTACTGCAGGTTACTTCTGGTGACTGCTGGCTGCCTGCAATTTGGCAGTTTGAATCTCACCAGGTTGACTCAGTCTTTCATCCTTCTGAAGTCGGTAAAATGAGGACCTAGATTGTTGGGGGCAATAGGATGACTCTGTAAACCGCTTAGAGAGGGCTGTAAAGCACAGTGAAATGTTATATAAATCTTAAGTGCTATTGCTATTGCTATCTCATTTAGTTCCCACCAGACTCCTTGTTCCACTTGATATTTACCTTGACTTTATTTTAATTTCTTTTCTGATTATTGTGAGCTACCCAGAGTCATTGAGAGTCAATCAGCATACAAATTGGATAAAGTATTATTATTATTATTAAAAAGAAAAGTAAAGGGGAATCTGGAAAGTACTAGTTTTTAGTGTAACATTTATACATGGGCATACTCAGGTAGGTACTAAGATGACAGAGAACACCCGGGAGAAAAATTACAGTCCACCTTCTGATAAATGGCTGTTTTGTGATTGATCATGGTAACCATAGCAGCAACACATTTTGTAAAGGTGTTCATCACGTGTCAACATTCCAAATGTGCTAGAGAACAGAGGACTCTGAGTTCAAGTCTCACCTTAGACATGAAAACTGGCTGGGTGACTTTGATTCAGTCATTCTCTCTCAGCCCATGATGTTAGGTTTGAGGGACAAGCTGATTAGTCAATTCTTGTCATAACCAATGGATCAACACCTGATTGGCCCAAATAAGTGGACCTTTGACTTGCAGAAAAAAACACTGGGAAGGAAAAAAAAAGATTTTTCCTACAAAGGAGATTGCTGTAGACTAAAAACTAAGTTTAGCCTTTACTTTAATAAACAACGTTTGTTAAAAGTAGATGTTAATCTGTAGTTTTTAGTCTAGAGCAGCGTCCTTTGTAGGAATTTTTTTTTTATTTTTTTTTTTGCGCTTTTATATACCTTTCCCACTAGGGAAGGGAATTGACCATGTTCCTTATAAAAACATGCTAACTAGAAACACAAATAGTTTTAAGTAAAGCTATACAATGGATAATTCTGGAGTGTTACTCTTATGATGACTGCTAATAAGACTGAAGATTGGTTGAGTTTCTACTCAAAATGAAGAACAGGGGCACTTTTCAAACTGACACAAGCTTACTAGATAGATTGATTAGTTATTACAGCCAAGCATTTGCAGCAGTGTCAGCAGAAAAATACAGCCAGAATAAAAATTATACACACATTCTGATTCTGGGGGAAAAAATTCAAGTGGACTGGCTTAGATTGCATATTACACAATTCCATGTTTATTTTAACCTTGTTCGTTGAAGGCACAAAAATGCATATCATCATCTAGAAAAGCAAAATAAACCTGTGATTTCAATTTACTTTTGTTTCCATCACTGGGAGTTTTCAAGAAAAGACGGGACAACCATTTGCCTGGGATGGAATAAGGAGTCCTGCCTTGGGCAGGAGGTTGGACTAGAAGACCTCCAAGGCCCTTTCCAGCCCTATGATTCTATGATTTCTCCAATGACTTGTTTTTCCCCAATAGTGTTAAGATCATAGTACTCATTATAGAGAGTAAGTAATATCTATTTCTGCTGTCCAGTTCAATTTATATTGTCAACTATGAATCAATGGAAGTGGACATATACTGTGTTCTTCTTAAGAACCAGTCATATAAAAGTCTTCCCCATTTTGCAGGGAAAAAACTCAAGCCTTGAACATGCTGCCTTTCCATTTCCTAAAAGATGTTCACCATCAGAGCAAGTTTCACGTACCATTTCACCAGAGACTGCTTCAGAGAGAAAAAGTCAAGCTTTTGTTGGTGGAACACCTCGCAACAACATGGTTCATGATTATGTGGCCTGGTAATTTCATTTGAGGCTGGGTTTTTTAATAATCAAATTATTTATACCTTATTTGAATTTGCTTTTGGACAGTTTAAGCCATTATAAGAAAATAGACACATGAATGAAGAGTTGAAATATATATTTTTTTGAATATGTTTTTAGTAGGTTATAAAGTTTTATAGAATACAAAATACAAAAGCAAGTAAGAGGACAGGGAGAGGGAAGGGGAAAGGGCAAAGAAAAGTGAGGAAGGGTAGGGAAAGAAAAAGAAGCATTGACTTCTGACTCTGTTACAGTAGAATAAGGCTTTAACAACAAATCACAACTTTTTGTTTTACTATAATAGTGTGAACCATTTCTACAAGTCATTTCTACAAGAGTTAAATAAGTTCTGTGGGATTCATGTGAAGTTGAAAGTGAAAAAATAATTCTGGAAATTTATTTCATGTTGGCCAAGCGTACTTCTTAAAATATTGAAATGGCATATACTCACAATAGTCCAAAAAAACAAACTTTATGTCTTCAAGTCTTAGTGTTCAGAGAAAAAAAAACCCAGGTTGTTCATTATTTGCAGATAGGATTGTTAGGAAATACAGTATTTTGTGCATGGATTATAATTATATTTTTTCTTTCTGTTTCAGTACTCCAGTTGTAAGAAATAATTTTCTTCCTATGGATAGGGCAACTACACCATATAACCAGTTTTCATATTTGCAACATTGTACTCCAACAACTCCATTCCATCTACAGAGTGGATTACAGGTATCAGCTATTTCTAAATTGTATAAAATAATGCAAAAGAAGTGTTGAGTTCTAAATAATGTTTCATTCATTTGAGCAAGGAGTTAAGCAAGAATTTTGCTGGTGATTTCATATTGACATTAATTCTTTTAAATTTAATTTTTATTGAGTGAAACAATACAAATTTGTAGGAAAAAAGATAAATGAATAATTAACGAACGAAAGAATAAGAAAGTAAGTTAGTGAATAAGTAAGAAAGAAAAGAAATATAAAAAGCAGCTTCCAATCTTCTTTATTGCAATTATGAATGCAATAAAATGCAGTTATATATTATCCTCTGTATAATTATACTGGTTTCCTTCTTTCCATATTTTACCCTTTCTAATTGTCAAACTTTCACCAACCATTCCTTCATTGTGGGTATTTCAGAGCCTTTCCAGCTTTGCGCATATACCATGTGGAAAAAATATCCGCCTTGCTACACATACCATGTGCAACAAATAACTTTCATAGGCCTTTTCTAGTTGGGTATTCATTAGTTCCAACAAAAAAGTTATCTTTGTATCACTGTATTATTTGAAACCAATTTTTCTAGCTTTTTTAGAACTCCACAGGCTTGATAAAACAATCCTTCATGTTTTCCACATTTCCAAAATTTGGAAGCATCTTTCTAGATTCTAGAAAGTTTTTTTGGTGTCATACCAATGGTACATCATTTTATAAAAAATATTTTTTACAATCACATATTTACTTATTAATCCATCTGTATATTATAACCAAAGCTCTTAACCAATTTTATCATACACTCTTTAATTTGTTCTTCTAATTTTAGTAAAAGCTTGTACATTTTAGCAATTACATGTTCACAATTTGTAGGTAATTCAGTTTCAAATGCTGCCTCATGTTCAGTTCCAAGGGTCTTTTTGTCCACTTTAAATTGTTCTCTTAATTGTACATAAATCATTGGAAACTTGGGAGCCCATTTTTGCTGGCAGAGCACTTGGACCACCAAAGGCACAAATGATGTCATGCTGGCCACGCCCACCCTGGCCACACCCACCCCAGCTCCCCAAGGTTAAACACGACCCTGATACGGCCCTCAATGAAATCGAATTTGACACCCCTGATATATACTGTATGCCATCCAATTCTGGCTCTGGGTATAAATAAACCAATAAAATACAAATAGTAAAAATAAAATAAAATACAGTAAATGCAACGAAGCCAGAAATTTCACTTGATTCTATGTACATTTCTTTTCACACTACAAACTTTTTTATTCAGGTTTCAGCTTCTGTATCACCAAATGAATGCATACTTGTTAAAGGAAAATTGTACTCTGTGTTAAAACAAATAGGCAGAGGAGGATCTAGTAAGGTAAGATAATATTGTAATATAAATTTATTTGATTTGATGAAAGCTGTTATTTGTGAGAAATGGTTTGTTGTGAAAAAAAACACATTTATCTACTTTAAACTTTTATTGCATTAAGATCATAAACATACAATTTTATGTTTCCCTTCTTCATTATATAGTTTCTCAATCATCCTCAAATTGTTCATACCATTCATCATATAATTCAGTTGAAACCTCAAATTAGTATAGAAAAAAGGAATGAATACTAAAGTGCAAAATCCATTAATTGGGTGAATTAGGATCAATCAAAATTACACAAAATGTACAAATTTGCCAGATGATCAAAATTTGTTAATCAGTATTTTCCCCCTCATTTCCATATTCTAATGATTCAGTTTGGAAAAAGGGAAAGTAAATCTTAGCAGCTACTGTATTTTTTGGAGTATAAGATGCAGCTTAGTTTTTTGGGAGGAAAAAAGAATCTGCCTGTCAGATACTCATCTGGCTAACGTCCTTAGTCTGGTCAGCTTCAGCACATTAGTTTGCTGGTTTTGACAACGTGTGTGCACGCTTTTTATCTCCTGCTCGGGGATAAAAAAACAGCTTCTAAAGCACAGCTGACCTTTGGAGAGAGAAGCAAATGAGAAAAGCAGGTGAAGAGTGGAAGATCGTTTCACTCGCTAGCACAAGCAGGCAAAGCATGGAGATTGCTGTTAGGGCTGAAAAAAGCTTCTAAAGCACAGCTGAGAGTCGAAGGGAGCAGGCAAAGAGCTGAAGATCGCTTCATACACTAGCACCTTGTTAGGACTAAAAAAAAGCTTCAAAAAAGATACATTCGGAGTATAAGACGAACCCAAATTTTCAGCCTCTTTTTTGGGGGGGGGAAGTGTGTCTTATACTCTGAAAAATACGGTACTTTTGAGCACAATAGTGGCCTGCTTTTGAGCAGATCAGCATAAGACTTCATTATTCAATACTTCATTTTTTTGGTCAGCAGAATCCAATCTGTTCATTAATTCAGCATGTTAACACATATAACACATATAACAGTGGTATATACCTGTGTTTTTTTAATAAAGTGACTAAGTATGTGAAAAATAAAATATCAATAGATTACATTAGAGGTTCCCAAAGCTCAGTTCGCGCCATTGGTGTTGCAAAAATATGACACTGCAAATGGATCTCAAAAATTTAAAATATCCCATAGCACTTTGGGGAGTTCAGTGTAGCACTTTAAGGTGCAACAGTTCACAGCTTGGAACTTATTTTATCCGTTATTTGAAAACAAATCATAACTATTCTTGGGACTAAAACATTCTGCGTTAAAAAGATACCTATTTCATGTGTATAACCATGAAAATACATTTTTATATTTGATTATATACTTCCAACCACAGAGTAGACTATTCTAGCAGCTCATATCTTTTCCTTGAAAAAAATGCCGGATCTATTTTAGAAAGCATGGTTTGGACTCCTCTACTCCAGTTCAGAGTACGCACAGGTAGTGGATATCAACAGAAGTCCCAAATATGACCATAACATTGGATGTAATCCTAAAACTGCAATCCTATGTACGCAAGGCTAATACTTTATATGATTTCAGTGGCTGAGATTTCTGTATACAGATTTCTACCATCAAATCTGTATATATATTTGCATAATGTTATTTATCTACCTCCCTCCCCTTAATAGCCTACCTAGCTGGGTTTTGAACCATATGGAACTTCTGGACAGCCTTCAAAGCTAGCTTATTTGGAACACATCATATGGAACACATCCAATTATGAGTTTATTAGGTCATGGAAAACTATTTTAATTCAAAAACAGTTCTCATCAGCCAAAATTAATCTAGAATTTTACCCTTCTCTTAGAGTTCAAAAAGTTCAGATCTCTAAATATATAAATTGATAAAAAGTTGGTTGAAAAGTACATTATATAAGGATTTTTAATTAAAAAATTGACATACTTTTTCAGCAAATGCTTTTAAACCAACAATAACAATGCTAAATGCTTATACATATTAGTTGTCCTTAACATTGCTCCAGAAATATACAAATATGTGGATAATTTTGAGTCGGTGATAAATACTTGACTCTCCTAGTGATAAGAATGCATATATTTAATGCCATAAATACGTTAGTTTTGAGACTTTGAAAGTAATGCAGGAATAATCATATACTGTTTAAAGGCTCAAAACAAGATTGTGGATAGTGGTGAAACTGTGAAAAATAAAACATTGGTTCATTGGTTTTAATATAGTGTATTAAATGGGAAATAGACCTCAGCCAAGCCTGTTGTATTTATTATTTAATACATGATTGAGGATTCTGCTTTTTTAAAAAATATAGAGTATTTTTTATTATACTGTATGTTGAAATTCATAGCCTTGTGCTGGTTAATGAGTGCAGTGAAGTTATGTATCTATCCAAAATAAAATGATAGAGTAAATACAGCAATATATTAAAAAGAATCTAGTTATGTTTTTTTTAATTGGGTTTTAAAGGTATTTCAAGTACTTGATGAAAAGAAACAGCTTTTTGCCATCAAACATGTTAATCTAGAAGAAGCAGATCAACAGACCATAGAAAGCTATAAAAATGAGATTGCTCACTTAAACAAACTTCAGCAACATAGTGATAAGATCATCCGACTTTATGACTAGTAAGTAAGCTTTTGTAAAATCAGTTTAATCCCTCTTTCTGCCTCCATACACGCTCAGATTAACTTTTATTTTTGCAACTATTTTAGTGAAATCAGTGAGAAGAATGTCTATATGGTGATGGAATGTGGAAATATTGATCTTAATAGCTGGCTTAAAAAGAAAAAAACAATTAATCCATGGGAACGGAAAAGTTATTGGAAAAACATGCTGGAAGCTGTCCATACAATTCACCAACATGGTAACTACTGTTTGCATGTTTGAACTCTGTTCTTTAGAATAGCTTCTCTCAGGAACAACTGCAAGGAATACAGTTAGAATAGTATAACTGAAGTCAGAGAAAATAAAATGGCACAACAATAGATGCATGATATGGTAGGAGTAAAATGCACATTCAAAGAGTTTCTAAAAAGAAAAATTCCTCTTAAGCCCACTTTCACCCACATGTATGATATGATCCTTTCAACTTTGCCTTAGTTACAAGGATATTGTTGGTTACTACAGTATCACGAAAAAGTTTGCTCATCCAGGTCTTAAGATAAACTAGATATAAGAGGAAGTGTTATAATTCATTGTTAGAGTCATTAATATTCAGCTATGCAAACAAAGAAAAATGATAGTTAAGAATAAAGATGTTTCTTGGAAGATTTGAGGCACTTCAACAGTATCCTATCTGAGAAGATGAAGGGAGAAAGAAAACAATTTGTCAGCATATGGGCGTGAAATTTTGCCTGAAAAGCAATTCATACTTCTCTCTGATTTAAGAAAAAGGGTTTCCCAGAGCTAGCTGTGATAAAAAAAATTGTAAAAATATATTATTATTAAATATTAAATAATGCTACATTTCAGTTAGATATATTTATACGCCAACACACTAAAGATAGGATATTTTTTCTATCAGCTTTGATAGGAATTACTTATATAGGTACACACATTTCTAATAAGTAATTTTACTCTAGAAAGTCTGAGAAGCCCTTGCAAAAGAATTCAGTGACTGCTGCTATATAGAAAAAAATCCTGTCGTGAAGTTTAATTTATGTGCTTCTTTTCCAAGTTGAGCTATAGAATAAGGTAGGTGGCCTTATTTTGGGTGGGAGACTTGGAATCTTGCTTTGAGAACAGCCAGATTTGCTATAAAATTGTTTTCCTCTGGCCATGTGTGAGCTGTCAGACTGCGTTTTGCTGTTGACATAATACTGTACACAATACCAAATGCATGTGTAGGTTTCATTGAAATTAATAAGATAATTGTGTCAGGTGTGAAAATATTTCTTAGTCAGCAAACTCCTCAGCTGCTTATTGCTTATAAAGCTATTTCTGTATTCTACAATTGAACTAGGTATTACGATACAGGTAGCCTTTGACTTATGACCACAATTGAGTCCAGAATTGATGTTGCTAAGTGAGAAATTTGTTGAGTTTTGCCCCATTTTATGACTTTTCTTGCCACAGTTGTTAAGTGAATCACTGCAGTTGTTAACTTAGTAACATAATTGTTAAGTGAATCTGGATTCCCTGTTGATTTTGCTTGTCAGAAGGTTGCAAAAGGGAACCACATGATTCTGGGACACTGCAACCGTCATAAACATGAACCAGTTGTCAAGCATCTGAATGTAAAGCATGGGACCAGGGGGATGCTGCAAGGGTCATAAGTGTGAAAAGGATCATAAGTCACTTTTTTCAGTGCTGTTGTAACTTTGGTCACTAAATGAACTATTGTAAGTCGGGGACTACCTGTATTTAAGAGGTTCATACACATTTTCTCATAAAAAAGGAGTGTAGCTTACAAATTAGCATAGAGACATTCTATTTAAAATAACTTAAACACAAGTACAGCAAGTAAAAAGGGAAAAACCAAAACTAATGATAATGATAGTTAAATAACAGGCAAATAAATTATTATTATTGTAAACTTCATTATTAATTACCGTGTTTCCCCAAAAATGGGAAGACCCTGCCTTATATTTTTTTGGAATCCTGAAATAAGGGCTTGGCCTTATTGCCATGCGCTCAAAAGCCCGATTGGGCTTATTATCAGGGGATGTCTTATTTTGGGGGAAACGGTATATTACTTCATTATTGATATAATTAATTGTATTAATTATTATTATTTACCAAAGACTGGTACAAAACCAAACCAAACAACATTTCCCCCAATAGTTATAAATCAATCCCATAAAATTATTTTAGAACTTAACAGCAACCTACTTAGCAAATATTAACACTAAAACAACCATCATAACAGCAGTACATTTAAAACAATGCCTTGGAATTGGGCAAAATATTTATATATCCATAATAATGTAAAGAGGTGTTTAGCTAGAACTGTCGGCTAAATAAGATTTGGGTGGAAAAAACTCTACAGACTTTACACTAACCAACTACTAAAAAAAAAAAAAAGTGCCCCCTTTTAGCTCCCTTTAAAACCAATCAGATTTTCACAGAAACCAAAGGAGGAAGGAACCTGATTATAGAGTCTTGAGGCAGCAAATTGCACTTCAGGATGAGGCCGTCAGAATTGCTTTCTTATGAATTGCTATCATCAGTCTCTAAAGACATCAGCATGGAAAAGGAGCAATGAATCTTAAATGAGGGACAGGTTGAAATAGATGCAGTCTTCCAAGTAGCTAGATCCCAATTTACAGACTATTTAAAATTCTAAAAATAAAAGGCAGGATTTCAAACTGGAATTTATTTATTTATTTATTTATTGGTTCGATTTATATGCTGCCCTTCTCCAGAGACTCAGGGTGGCTTACAATGCTTTTAAGCAATAGCCTTCATACTTTTGTATATACCTGCTTAGTAGGGCTTTTGCCCCCCCCCCCAAGCGGTGTTCTTTTTTATACAAAGTCAGCTTATTGCCCCCACAATCCAGGTCCTCATTTTACCTACCTCGAAAGGATGGAAGGCTGAATCAACCTTGAGCCTGGTGAGATTTGAACTTGGCAGTAATTGCAGGCAGCTGGTGCTATTTAACAGCACTTTAGTCTGCTGCGCCACCAAGGCTCTTAATTGGAATTACACAGTGTAATAGAAATATTCTGTACTATTTGAGGATTCCAGATGTTTTCAGAGGCAATCAATAGGGAAGATGACGATGTTCTGATGTGTCATTTATGCAGTGGGCAAACTAGGAGAAAAAAATATAATTCAAAATTGCACATGTGTCTCCAGAGAGTTTTCTAAACCAGGTGTTCTACAATATCATATAGCAGAAAAGGTCCAGTGATATCAGGTACAAATAAACCCTCCACTCCTGATTGCCTAGATACTTTACATATGATTTTCATTTTTTTTTCTACCTTGTGTTTTTGTATGTGGGTAAATAATAATTCTTGACACACTTTGAATTAATTGAACAAATTTTAATTTGCAGGTATTGTTCATAGTGATCTGAAACCAGCAAACTTTCTATTAGTAGATGGAATGCTGAAACTAATAGATTTTGGCATTGCAAATCAGATGCAGCCAGATGTGACTAGCATTGTTAAAGATTCCCAGGTGAGACAATTGTGAACTACTAAACATAAAAGAAGCAATTATCTTAAATAATTACTTGTTGTTGTTTGATAATGGAGTATGATAAGAACATGTTGTAATCAGGAAACATTCAGCAACATACACGTTGCATTTGTGTGTTTCATTTACTTTTTTTCTTGGTACGCTTGGTCAGAGTCAAATCTTATTTTTCCAAACATTTAGGTTGAAGGATTCATAATGAGAGAGAAAAATGAATTGTCCTAGCTCTTAAGGTTCCAGTTATTTCACTTTGTTGCTGACAACTTTAAGGAGAGTCTTCTATATGTAAATGTATGGGACTATGAAGTGTATTAAACATCTATCTAAGGTTTTAAAAACATAAGACAATAGCCTGGTCTCTAATGTGGCTTTAGCTCTCATTATTCCATAATTAAAGCTATTCTGATTAAAGCTGATGAGAAGCTAGAATCCAACAAGTCTAATATTTAAATGGCCATCTTTAGGTTTAAAAGTGGAGTATCTGCTGCCCCATCACTGCAGTATGGTTAATTCACTGCAATACACTGTTACTTGTAGAACTGTTCCACTTTTAAAGTAAGGTTAAGCAATTGTGAATGGGTTGTATGACTGCACTGGTTTCTCAGTAAAACAAGTTTCACTTGTTATGACAATAGCTAAATTAGTGTAGTTATTATTGATTCTAGAGTGAATTAGGATTCTTATTTTACTAAAATTCTTAACCAGAGAATCTAATTATCCTTTAGCATGGTTAATATTAGTATCCATTAACATCTTATCAGGGATTCCTGACATGATATAAAAAATATTAGGGCAGGGTACATAGCATCCCTAGACATATATTAGAATTAAAATGGCTGAATTCTTATGAGGTGTCAGAGTTCTATTGAAATGTTCAGTAAGACAGTCAAAAGCCTGTAAGAGCTTTGGGATTAAATTGCTAAAATCTCATGCTATTTGGGGGGGGGGGAAGTTTGATTTGTAGCATCCATGAGTATTCTTAAAACCCAAAAAGGAACTAAATCTCTAATATTATATTTTAAATTTTAAACCAGTTATACAAGTGTTAAATGTAACTATTATTTAAATGTACATAATCCTATTTTTTATGTTAAAAGGTCGGCACCATTAATTACATGCCACCAGAGGCGATCAAAGATATGTCTTCCAGTGCAGAAAATGGCAAGTCAAGATCAAAGGTAATATATTCTTCCTATAGTTCAAAGGATAAAGTATTGATATTGTTTTCTAAATTGGAGAAAATTTTATTTGAACAAGGAGATAGAAATAAATTATAAGGAAGCTTGAGAAGAAAGCTGAGGCAAACTCCTTATTCTTATCATCACTCCTTTCTTCTGAAACAAAATGGAAGAAAAAGTTCATCTTAAATGTGGCCAACTGCTGATTTTGCCCATGGGATTTATTTATGCAGCACGAAATTGTGAGGGCTGTGCATGCTTTAATAGCAATAGCATTTAGACTTATATACCACTTCACAGTGCTTTACAGCCCTCTCTAAGTGGTTTACAGAGTCAGCATGTTGGTCATTGTGTCATTCTCCAGATTTGTTAACATAGTTTGGGCAGAACCTTTATTGATTCTTCTTTTGTTGCTTGCCATATTATTTTAGATAAAAGCCTTTCAGAGGTTTTTTTTTCTGAAGCTTCATTTCTGGGGCTTGTTTTCCGAAGCTTCTTTCAGAGGCTTCTTTCAGAGGCTTCTTTCAGCCTCTGAAATCTCCATTTGCGAGGCTGGGCAGGGCTACATTCGGAGTATAAGATGCACCCAGATTTTCAACCTCTTTTTGGGATGAAAAAGGTGTGTCTTATACTTCAAAAAATACGGTAATATTAATAGAAGATGACTTGCTTAGAGAGTAAGGGGCATTATTCCCTTAGGCATCTGCAACAAGTTGATGACATCAAAATGATGACATCTGTGTTGAAATATTATGCAAATGATGAAGTTATGTAATCTGCATCTGAGAGTACAACTTGTCATCCACTGACCTCTGGTTACTGCAATGGCGTTGGCCATTGCTTTCTTTTGTCCTCGTATTTTTGTTCTTCCATGCCTGGCCTTCTATAGTGAATTGCCTTTGCTGCTTGATGTCAGGAAATTGACAGGGACTCCTCCCCCTCCAATGTTTGGTTTGAACTATTTGGTCCTTGATGCCAAAATTTAGCCCACAGCAACTTCAAGTAATGTTGCTTTCAAGTACAAAAATAAAATTGGGGTCATATAGTGCCCGATTTCTTCGCCCTGGCCTTATCTTTACTGTACATTTCTACTGATACATAGGCAAGTTGCATGATGTAGAACTACTGCCACCTCCATACGATTTCACATTATGCTGTGCTGTTGCTGATACAGTTGTTCAGAACCACTTCCTCAAGTGTGGATGTTCTGCTTTCCTGTCCAGTTTTCTTTGTCTACTCTCACCTATTTTTTTGTCATCCCTGAGATTCAGCTGAATCTGTTGTTAAGGAGGTTAGAATCTGTTGTTAAGGAGGTTAGATCATACAAAGCATCATACATGCAGATGCTTTGGTATTTAATTTGTGATTTAACGGATGCAAATTTTTAGCATTCCTTTATCATATTCCTGAAAGCTTGACCTGTTAATGCCACTTAGATTGTTTACCTTGAAAGTGTTGACTTTTGGTTAATTATCTTTCACTTTCATTGATTTGACTGTGAATTAATGACATGTACAGCTGTTAATGTACACCACTTTGGTGGTATGCAGAATCACAATGTATGATTGTATAAAATAAATGGTTCCCCTTACTGCGTAATCAGTTGTATCAGATAGGGTTATGTTAAGAATGACAAGAATGTCAAAATAATGGTGTGATTGAGTGAACCTGTTTTTCTTTCTACTTTTTAGATTAGTCCAAAAAGTGATGTATGGTCATTGGGTTGTATTTTATATTGCATGACTTATGGAAAAACTCCATTTCAGAACATAACGAATTACATAACAAAACTTCATGCCATAATTGACCCTAATTATGAAATAATGTTTCCTGATATTGCAGAAAAGGATCTTCTAGATGTCTTAAAGGTAATATTTTGTATCTCTTTTTTATTTCATGCTCTGAGTTCTGCTTTATAGATAATTTTCCAAGTCATGATTTATTTTAATTATGTTTAAATATCCCAGAATATGGAGGCATGATAGGTTTCTTGATTTTATATTTCTTGATTTTATGTATATATCCTTTAGAATAATTGGTTTTATTTTCAATTATTTCCTAACTTTGTCTCCCCCCCCCCCAGAATTGTTTAATTAGGAATCCCAAGCAAAGAATATCTATCTCTGAACTCTTGATTCATCCTTATGTACATATACAGTCCAATTCACAAACAGGTAATTCAACTTTTCTAATAGATATTACTATTGTGTTTATTTTACCAAAATTCTTTTGTTTAAAAGTGATTTAAAAAAAACTATTTGCAGATTAAATTATGTATGCTATCTTAAGTTAGTTTACCAAAATTTTCAAACAGTTTTAAATCAAATCAGGGCATACATCTCAAACAGAATTTAATTTTAAATTCTCCTAGGACATCAAAATGCAAAAGGAACATCAGAAGAAATGAAGCATATTCTTGGTCAACTTATTGGCTTGAATTCTCCTAACTCTATTTCTAAAGCTGCCAGAGTAAGTATATAAGTAATATCACTGCTAGTATAATTAAAATGAAAATAAAATAATGTTAGAACTATATAATTCTCACTCAGAGTTTCTTTGGGGGAGAGAGAAATAGGCTGATAAGAGTCGTGAATGTGTAATGAGAAATAGTTTCAAGAGTTAGTAAATGATAAGGAATTATGTTGTTAATGAAATAGAAGCTCTTATAAAGTAGACAAGGGATGCAGTGGCTCAGTGGCTAAGATGCTGAGCTTGTCAATCGAAAGGTCGGCAGTTCAGCGGTTTGAATCCCTAGTGCCATGTAACGGGGTAAGCTCCCGTTACTTGTCCCAGCTTCTGCCAACCTAGCAGTTCGAAAACACGTAAAAAATGCAAGTAGAAAAATAAGGACCACCTTTGGTGGTAACAGCGTTCTGTGCGCCTTTGGCGTTTAGTCATGCTGGCCACATGACCATGGAGATGTCTTCGGACAGCGCTGGCTCTTTGGCTTTGAAACTGAGATGAGCACCACCCCTAGAGTCGGGAACAACTAGCACATATGTGTGAGGGGAACCTTTACCTTTACTATAAAGTAGACAATGATCAATAGTTTAAGTTAGATGAAGTGGGGCACTCTTGACAACTAGTCCTTGCTTAACATCTGTTCATTCAGCAACTGTTCAAAATTACGACAGTGCTAAACAAAGGGAGTTAACACCAGTCCTCACATTTCTGGCTGTTTCATTACTCGCATGGTCACATGAACAAAATTCAGGCTTACTTGAGCCTACCTGTATTTATGATTGCCTATTAGCCAGTTGCTCCCACCTCCCAGCCCTGTCTACTGCCCACTGCCACACTGTGTGCCACTACTGTACTAGGGGAGCCTTTGTGCCACCTTTCATGCTGGTGCTGCCCAGGCTTCTCTCATGCTGCGATCAGGGACTCTTTGTGCCCTGGCCAAGGCCTGTATTTGCATAGAAGACTCTAAAAGGGTCCTCTTTTCCCACCCAGCACAGCAAGAAAAGATAAAATGAGCTGTGGATAATTGAGGAAACTGAGATGAGGAAGGGATATAGATTTTTGGCCATACAGTTGAATAAAAGAAAGATACTATTTAGGTGGCTTCTCCCAGAAGGGATGCTAATAACCTGGCAAGGAAGAAAAATAAAAATAGAAAGCCTGAGTACAGCACAAGACTTCCTTGACCAGTTAAGAGGTGTGGAAGAAGAGCAGGGGAGCAAGGAAGAACTAGAAACAGCAGTAGTGGGGGAGGAAGCCCTACACCAACAGAATACAAACGAAGCAACTGTAGAGGAGAAGACAGAAGAAGAAGAAGAAGAAGCCAAAGAGAAGAAAGCAAGACCAGTAAGGGCCGTAAGAAACAAACAAGAACCAATAATCAGATAGGGGTATAGAGATGAATGACTTGAAGCTAATATCTGTAAATGTTAATGGACTAAATGAATATAAAAAGAGGAAAAGAATATTAACAAAACTAGGTAAACAAAATGTTGATATAATGTGTTTACAAGAGGTACACATAAAAAAAGAAGAAAGTAAATGTCTAGAATATAAAAAATTTGGTCAAACATTTGATTCGCTGGCAGAGAAAAAGAAGAGGGGGGTGGCTATTTACGTTAAAAAAGGAATTGAAGCAGAATTGAAATTCAAAGATACAAAGGGTAGAATCCTTATGGTTGAAATTAAGAGAGGGAATTCCAAAGTATTATTAGTGGGCATTTATGCCCCGAATAAAAAACAGGGAGAATTTTTTAAGAAACTTCACGAACAATTAGTGAAAATGGCATATAATGAAATCTGTATGATAGGGGATTTTAATGGCATCGTGGATCCGGAGAAGGATCACAAGAGCAATAAAGTAAAAAAAAATAAAAGGACAAATTTACCGAGAGCTTTTTTTGAGTTAGTTGATGAATTGGATCTAATTGATATCTGGCGTACCTTGCACCCAAATGACAGACAATATACCTTCTTTTCAAACCCACAAAAGTCGTGGTCTAGAATTGACATGGCATGGGTCAGTAGGAGTTTGGGGTTAGAAATTGGAACAGCTGTAATTAACCCAAATGATTGGGCAGACCATAATCCATTGGAGATTAGATGGAAGCCTGTTCAGAGAAAATATCAACGGAGGTGGAGGCTCAATGCTAAATTACTGGGCGACAAGGACTGTATACAAAAATTCAAAGAAGAAATAAATTTCTTTTTCAAGGAAAATGAAAATAAAGGCACATCCCGTGCAATAGTTTGGGATACAATGAAGGCCTACCTGAGAGGAGTTGTGATTTCATACACCGCCCATAAAAATAAACAAGAAAGGAAGACCCTGGAAGACTATTTAAATCATATAGGAGAAGCAGAAAGAAAACTCCAAGATGATCCAGAAGATGAAGCAGCCAAAGAAAATTGGATGATGTGGAAGCATAAAGTAAATATCATGGAGCAAGAAGAGTTAGCACAAAGAATGAAAAGAACGAAACAATATCTTTTCGAGAACACTAACAAATCGGGGAGGTGGCTGGCCTATAAATTAAAAAAGGAAAATGAAAGGGGAATAATCCATACTTTAGAGGACTCTAAGGGCAAATTATTGACTAACGAGGAAGAAAAACGAGATAGGGTGAGAGAATATTACGAATCTCTATATAAAGAAGGGGAGACATCAGATGACAAAATAGAAAAGTATTTGATAGAAGCAGAACTCCCACAAATAACTGATGAAGAGAAAGAAATGCTTAATAGAAAGATTACAATTGAAGAATTAAAAATAGCCCTTTCCAAATTGAAAAACAATAAAGCCCCAGGACCTGACGGATTCCCAGGGGAAATATATAAAAAATTAGAAGAAATACTCCAACCGAAATTAGTAGAAATTTTTAATGATGCACTGTTGGACCATAAAATTCCAGAGTCATGGAAAGAGGCGCATGTCACACTCGTGCCGAAAGAAGGTGCCGACCCAAAACAAATTCAAAACTACAGACCAATTTCGCTTCTAAATACAGACTACAAATTATTCATGGGCATAATTGCGGAAAGAATGAAAAAGATTTTAAATAATTGGATATATAAAGACCAGAATGGATTTTTACCGGGGAGACAAATTAGGGATAACATGAGAATTGTGCTAGATACGCTAGAGTACTATGAGGAACACCCCGGAAAACAGATGGCTCTGATCTTTGTCGATGCTCAAAAGGCATTTGACAACCTAAATTGGAAATTTATGATAAAACAAATTGAGATTATGAAATTCGGAACAAATTTTGAAATGATGATCAAATCCATCTATAACAACCAAAAGGCGAGTATCCTGGTGAATGGGGATAGGACTAAAACATTCCAAATTAGTAAGGGAGTAAGGCAAGGCTGTCCCCTATCCCCTCTATTGTTCATCCTGGCCCTAGAAGTCCTTCTACGGAAAATTAGAGCTAACAATGAAATAAAAGGATTGAAGATCAGGAAGGAGACTTATAAGATACAAGCATTTGCAGATGACGTTGCCCTAATCCTTGAAGACCCTATAGAGTCGGGACCTAAAGTACTGGAGGAATTAAGTAATTATGGAGAGGTGGCAGGCTTCATATTGAACAAAACTAAAACTAAAGTATTGATTAAGAACACAACTGAGAGTCAGCAAAACGAGATAGAAGAAGTATTAGGACTACAGGTTGCCAAAAAAATTAAATACTTAGGAATTTGGATTACATCAAGATGTTCGACTCTGAAAGATGATAATTATATTCCCCTAAATAGAAAAATAAAACAAGACCTAGATAACTGGAAAAAAATAAGATTATCACTTTTGGGCAAGATAGCCACAATTAAGATGAACATCCTCCCCAGAATATTATTTCTATTCCAAAATATACCAATAAATTTAGATAAAAAATTCTTTCTAGAATTAGACAAAATCATTAGAGAATTTATATGGGAGGGGAAAAAACCGAGATTTTCCATTAAAATTTTAAGAGGTAAAAGAGATATAGGTGGATTTGGACTCCCGGATTGGGAAACATACTATAGGTCAGCCAAGCTAGTTTGGATAAGAGATTGGATCACCCTGGAAAATGCGAGAATTCTTACTCTAGAAGGCCATGACTTGCAAAAAGGCTGGCACGCCCACATCTGGGAAATGGAGAGGAAAAAGAAGACACATTTCCATAGACATAAAATCAGAGATTCCTTGATACAAACATGGACCCAGATCAGACAAAAACATTACAAGAAAATCCCAAATTGGCTCTCAACGATGGAGGCCCTGACTCACCCAAATAGGTGGGAGAGGGAGAAAATGGCCAGATATAAAGATATTCTAGATGAAGGAGGGAGGCTTAAACCAAATGATACCTTACGAGAGCAAGGAATAACCTTAGATTGGTGGACCTACTCACAAGTAAAATCCAGATATCAGAGGGACAAAGAACAATATGGTATAGAACCGGGACCAAATGGATTGGACAAAGTTCTGATGGGAACAAATAAAAAGATTCTGGCAAAATTATACAATTATCTGCTAAGCGATGAGAAGTTTGAAGAGGTTACAAAGAATCAAATAATTGCATGGGAGAAAAATATAGGGTGCAATATAAATTTCGGGGAATGGGAGGAGGCATGGAATAGAAATCTTAAATTGACTAGAGCGGTGGCATATAAGGAAAATCATTACAAAATGCTTCATAGGTGGTACCTAGCCCCGGCCAGACTAGCGAAGATATATCCTAATATACATCCCAATTGTTGGAAATGCGGCCATGGCCAAGGCACCTTCTTTCACATGTGGTGGACATGCCCGGAAGCGAAAGGATATTGGAGTAAGATCAGGAGATGGTTACACGAAATAATTGGGGAAGATATTGAACTAACACCAGAGATTTTCCTCCTGGGAATAATAAAGAAGCCATATAGAAAGGAAATGACACATTTAATGATCCATATAATTACAGCCGCTAGATTGGCATATGCACAGTTTTGGAAAGAGAAAATTCAACCACCAGAAGAGCTTACAATTAAGAAAATACTCGAGTGCGCAGAGATGACTAAATTAACTTATGAATTAAATGATGAAAAGTCAGTATACTATATGGTGTGGGAAAGGTGGTACAAGTGGTTGCATGATAAAATGGAAGAAAGATCAAAGGTGTGTTAAATATTGGTTAAAAGTGAGTCAAAATATCAACAAGTATTATTTATGTAAATAGTTAAAACACTGCATATCCGATACAAATTGAAAAATGTTTATTATATTTATGTGTTTTATGTTATTGTTTGAATGATTGTTTGTTTGTTTGTTTGTTTTTCTCTTTTTTTTTTCCTTTTTGTTCTGTAAAAAATCTCAATAAAGTCTATTAAAAAAAAAAAAAATTGAGGAAACTTAATTTTCTTCCAAGAAATTGTCGGTGGGGGTGGGGAGTATTTACAATTTACACTGTGTTCTAATCTTGAGGGGATCAGTATTATGAGTATAGTTATATTCCTGAATGTCTGTAATTCCAGCTCATTCATTAAATGTGCTTTGAAATATCAAGTTATTTTAAATGAAAAAATTTAGAAATGTGGAAATAGCCATTTGATTTCTCATGGATTTCCCTGATTTTTTTAAAAGAAAAATTTCATCATGCCAATTTGAGTTTAGATACAGAAATTAAAATACAATTTAATTCAACAATGTGCTTCTAATTTGTTTGATCAAAATAAGCAATATATACTGTGGGGCTTTCTAACGACTCATATTTATGGACATGATTTCCAATTCCTTTTGAAAACAATTACAGAAAAATACATTAATCCTTTGTCTTAATAAAACATTTAAATAATTTTTTTAATTAAAATTGATGTTTTTACTAAAATGGTAGAGAAGTCTTATAAGAAAGTATGAATGTAGTCTAAATTATTAATTATTAAACCTGCCACTCCTGAGCTTGGCCAAAATAAATTCCAGAAGATTATTTGCAATATGTGTTGGGAAGAGTAAGGAAAATGTGTCTTTCCAAAGCTATGTAAACTAATGAGATTCAACTGTAAATCAGCAGGTACTACAGAACCCTTATTTTTTATACATGCACAAACACTTTAGTCAAGCCTCAGAAATACAACTTTCTCACTAGCTGCTTTTGATCCTGCTAAGAAAATTATTTTGCTATGTTTTGCTGTATTTGTAACATCAAGCAGGTTTCCTTGATGGTTATTTCTTTTTCTCCTCCAAAAGAATAAAAAAGTATGCTAAGTAGAAAACAAGAAGAGAAAAATAAGGGCTGCACCAAATTATGTTACAAATTCTGTTATTTGCAGGATGTGTGTAACATTGGAACTCCCTTAGTATGCTTTCACTGTGCTTGTGTATATACTGAACTGGCACTTACATACCACTGCTGCAGAAGTTTTAGAAAAAAAATCGTCTCCTAAGTGGCTGAAAGAATGGAAGAAAAATGGAAGCAAAAATAAAAACTTGGGGTGGGAAGAAGAGTAAATATTTATTAAGGATTTGTTTTAGTTAGAAATGACAACAAAAAAGGATTAAGCTCAATGTTCCGTGGGGGTGGGGGTGGGGGTGGGGGAGAAAGTAAGGGGATTTGAAAATAAAGAGGAAAAATTTAATAATTTGTCTTGTCTTTTTAAATTTCAGACTTTATATGAGCAGTGCAACAAAGGTGAAGGTTTAGATGTGTCTGCTTTTTCAAAATCTGACAGTCGGACAACCTGGAAAACAAAGTAATAAGGCCTGATTTACAAAAGATATTAATGAAAAGATATTCTAAGCAAAGGCTGGTCCCATCTGGATATATTTGTCTTGCCACTTACAAATACTTTTCATCATTTGTTCATCTAGTATTTGCATATGAATATTATGGAGCACCCCTGCTATATAACATGCTGGTCTGCTGTTATATTTGAATAGCAAATACTTGTGGATTAGTTGCGTAAAAGCTTAGCTGCAATTCTGAATCTTGAGAGAAATATTTTGACTTGTTTTAAGATGAACTAAGGAACTCTAGTTCTGGGCAACTATCTTTAAGAATCAAGTCAATTAATTATCAGATTCAGCTGCCATTTTTTCATGTTTTGCTGTGGTAGATACTATAAAAGCAGTACTTCAAATTATGCTGCTTTTATCCATTATTTTATCCTGTACATATTCCTATGGAAAGATTTTGATGTATAGATGATACAGTCTACTGATACTGATGTTCAACTTTGTAAATAAAAAGATAATCATCCTGCGTTAATCTTCTTGCAGTTTCTAAGTAAGCAGAACATCCTATAAAAATCAAATATTCTGATTTGAAAAGCTTAACAAATTAGTGATCCTGAAATTGAAATTGTAATCTATTAATTCTGATTCTATAAATTGGTTCCTCTTTACTGTTAAGTTTGGAGGTTTTCTTTTAATTTTTGATTTAACTATGTTATTACTTAGACAAACCTTTTGTGATGAGAAATTTGTATTGCAGTTTAATAATTTTCAGGTCAGCTCCTATTTCCTATGGGAAATATTTCCTATGTCCTAAAAAAGACAAAAACAAAACAAAAACAAAAACAAAAATAAAAAATAAGAACAATTTCCTGTGCAGAAACATTCCCTGGACTCACTCAATTAATTCTTTCCTAACAGTCACAATGGACAAGTGCCTAAAACACAAATAAATGTCCTAATCCTCACAAGGTTCTGATTTAACTCCTTAGGTCCCCAGAAGTAACATGGATTACCTTTTCACTCTGAAATATAACACTACTTAATCACAGCTGATTCCTCTTAGATATTTTATGGTCTCGCAAATCCTTGGAGATGCCACTCCCCAAGGAATGGGTGTAGAAGAAGACAGGCAGAATCCTCCAGCTCTGAAGCATCACAGGAGGAGTCACAAAGGGATGGGTTGGGAACTGGATAAGCACTTACGCAAATATGAGATGGTAGATTGACAAAACTAGTCTAGCCTCTTCTACAGATTCTCTTTTTTTAAGCAGATTTGATCTGTTGCCTTCATTTAAAAAAAAATTCTCCTTTCAGGCTGTTTTGACTTGGTAATTTCATGGACATCTTGGAAATATAGAATAGTTTGCCATTATCTTTTTCTATAATTATGTGAGGGCCCCCATGTTCCCAGCCCAATCTACAACCATGGATTTTTTTTAGTGATTTCACATCTAAGTACTAAGCAGGACTAGTTACTTCTGAAGTTACCGTGTTTCCCTGAAAATAAGACCCTGTCTTATATTTTTTTGAACCCTGAAATAAGCGCTTGGCCTTATTTTCGGGGAGGTCTTATTATTTTGGGGTGCATGGAGCAAGATGGGGCTCCTCTTGCCGTCTTGCCTGATTTCCAGCTTATTTAAATATTTCCGGGAGGTGGAGGGAGGCTTATTTTAGCGCATGCGCTCAAAAGCTCGATTGGGCTTATTATCAGGGGATGTCTTATTTTTGGGGAAACAGGGTAGACAAAGTTGGGCAAGAGAGTCTAATGATGACATTTAATTCACTGGTGGTGTGCCCTCTCGTGTAAATTATTTGATTGTAATTTATTCAGTAAACTATGATTAAATAAATGTTTTATCGCGAGGTATGAATAACAGCAATTTTTTAGAGTTTTTAGGCAACACGCCCCAGTTTATTTCTGGAAATGTTGGTATTTCAACATAGAGCATCAACTCATGCTTGCTTTAGACAGGTTCTTTTCTGAATTCATAATAGTTACATTCCAACATTCCAAATTTGTTGCCCATCAAATCAAACAATTAGCCAGTTATTTGTCAGATCTTTTCAGATATGCTGTAAGTTAACCTACATACGCATGTAGCTTATTAGGCCTATGTTAAGATGTCATTTATGAAGTTTAACTGATGGACAAAACTCTGGATACAGCCTTAGATTATTTTTATGGAAATATTTTATGAGGTATCCTCATAAAATTCATGTAATAATTCACATCGTGGTAAAATATGTGCAGTGTGACTACGCATTTAGATTAGTGTGACTTCCCCATCACGGAATTCAATGGGACATGCTTCCAATGTGCATAGGTTGAGTATTAACAGCATTTTTTTCTGAAAGCCTGCAAATATTTTTAATAAATTTGACTTTTAATTTAAAAATGCTCCAAATGATGATGAATACTCAGACATAGTAGTACAAGTGAGTCTTGACTTACAATTGGTTACGCTGTGACCATTCAAAGTTATGATGGAATCCCCCCCCCCCCCCCAAGCTACTTACAAAGTGGTTTTGAATTTCTAACATCAGGGCCTCAATTAGACTGCTCAGCTTCTGACTGCAATTGGAGTGCTTGACAACTGACCTGCAACTATCTATCTGTAGCGCCTCATGGTGATGTGACTATGATTTACAACAGTTTGGCTGGAAACCTGCATTTACTTCTCGTTTCTGGGAAAAACCAGCCTGTAGCAAACAATGGATTCGCTTAACAACTGCCACAAATGAGATCATAAAGCCGGATCCAATTGCGTGGCGACTCACTTTATGATTATCATGACTTAGGACCATAATTGCCAGGCTCAATTATCATTGAGGACTATCTCTACTATATGCATAATAGTTTCACATTATTTAGTGAATGAGGTAAGAACACGGTTAGCCTAGATGTGCTGTTTTCCAGTTTTGTACAAGGAGTGCATGTTCCTTTATGGTAAACAAAGTGATGTAAATATTAAACAGAAAACATCACCATCGCTTTCTTTCTCATGTCCTCCAAGGGAAAAAAACTTACCTTTTTTTTGTGTGTACAAGTTATAGTTGGAGTGTACAGAAGACTTATGAGATCCCACAGGGAATACTAGGCTTCCAATTCAAAATAAGCCAGTGAATAGTTTACGTCACTGTTTCTCAACCTTGCAACTTGCGGGGCGGGAGAGAGTTGAGCTTCACATATCTTAAAAGTTGCCAAAGTTGAGAGACACTGGTCTACGTAATGTATTTGTCTGATATTTAAATCACAAGTCACATAATGAGAAATTGTTCACTGAAGGAGCAAACACAAAGGAGATTTTCTCTCATGTTCAGTCACATAGGCACACAGCTAGGATGGGGTCCTTAGTGCTCTCTGAGCTTGGTTGTTTTCTTGCAGACATTTCATTATCCAAACTGGGTAATGTCATCATGGTACCAGCAAGAAAACAACCAAGCACCCCTCATTTAAACCCTAAACTACAAATATTCTCCTTTATTAATGAAAATGTAAATTTGAACCCCAAATGCTAAGAGGCAATGGAAGCAGAGTGTTTGTCAGGGACTTATTGGGAGGGACTGCACCTGATCTACAATCTGACTCTTCACCTCAATACCTCCTGCTGGCTGAGAGAAGTGAGAATGGTGCAATCATGATATGCTGATTCTAATCGGGCGGATTACTAAAATCATAGTGGCTCTTATGCTAGAAGAGGTGCCCTATTTAAAAGTGTGTGGCAGTTGAGTCAATGACCCAAACACTTGGCTTTGTTCACTTTCTTGAAATAAATTATTTTCTAGGTCCACACATTAGGTAACACCATATTTTACTTAACCATAGTGTGCTGAATAAATGAAAGATGAATGGTATACATGAACCATGGTTTTAATATAATGATGGGTTCATATCGGGTGAAATGCTCCCGGTTCGGACTGGATCACCTGATCCGGTAGCGATGGCGACGGGTGGTTCGGAGAACCGGTAGCAAAAATCCCTGCCTCCCCCCCATGCCCAGCTGAGCCACACGATCATCAGAGGCTTTTTTTTTTCTTTTACTTTTAAAAGCAATTTTTCTACAACCCCTTCCGACGAAAAAATGCTTTTAAAAGTTAAAAAAAAAAGCCTCTGATGATCGCGCGGCTCAGCTGGGATCATCAGAGGCTTTTCAAAGCATTTTTTTCTGCAACCTCTTGGCCGAAGAGGTGGTTAAAAAATGCTTTGAAAAGTCTCTGACGATCCCAGCTGAGTTGCCTGATCGGCAGAGAGGTATTTTTTAAAAAATACCTCTCTGCTGATCAGGCAACTCAGCTGGGATCATCAGAGAGGCTTTTTAAAAAATACCTCTCTGCTGATCAGGCAACTCAGCTGGGATGGTCAGGTATTTTTTAAAAAGCTTACCTGACGATCCCAGCTGAGTTGCCTGATCGGCAGAGGCTTTTCAAAGCATTAGAAAAAATGCTTTGAAAAGTTTTTTTTTTAAAAAGTTGGCCACGCCCACCCAGTCACATTACCCCCTCCACAAGCCACGCCCACAGAACCGGTAGTAACAAATTTTACATTTCACCCCTGGTTCATATCATAAATTCATATCATTTTGTATTTATTGCCATGTTTATGTGGTGTATATTGGAGGTGGTGACTGAGAGCTGTATGCAATGAAATTTCATTTTAATGTATGCCGATTAGTGTACATTCAAAGTGACAATAAAGTTATTCAAAGTGACAATAAAGTTATTCAAAGTCTAAGTCATAAAATGTACAGTCTCTTTTGGGTCAGGCGTGCATCCTCGTGGCCACATGGCCAGATGCACTGTTTTGGCTACAAAACGGGCACCAGTAGTAACTGCTTTCTTCCAAGACAGTTCTCCAAATTTCCAAGTTAAGTTCCAGCTCTGCTATTCCTTTGATCTCCCACCCATACACTAAGTAGGTTTACCCTGAATAGCCTTTTGAGATCAGCCAAAACAAAACAAGGCTTAGTGCAATGTGTGAGCCTAGCTAATTGTATCTATGGGTAGATAAGAGTAGATAAGAGAGCCGGTTTGGTATAGTGGTTAAGGCACCAAGATAGAAACTGAGGCTGTGACTTTTAATCCTTCCTTAGGCACGAAGCCAGCTGGGTGACCTGGGGACAGTCACTTCCTCTCAGCCCTAGGAAGAAGTGGGCAGTGGGCAAACCACTTCTGAAAAATCTTGCCAAGGAAACGGCAAGGACCTATCCAGGCTGTTTCCAAAAATTGGACATGACTGAACAGGGAAAAACAAAGCATAGGATTGTGCGGTTAACATCCTCTTGAAAATGTCTTTGAATATCAGTTTCTTCATCTGTGGAGTCTAATTTTGCTCCATTTGAATATACAATGAAACAAACCGTAAAGGAAATATGCATAGATGCATATATTAGGGGTGTGCATCTACTTTAGTTAAATCTCGGCCCAAAATTCCCTAGGCTTTGAAAAGTCTTGGATTTGTTTAAAGAAAAACAAGTTTCTTTAATCCCAGAATGTCAAGGTCCATTTTAGAAATATAACCAGGTTTCTATTTAA